TTTCTGGCTATTATGAATAAGGCTGCTATGAACACAGTTGAGCAAATGTCCTCGTGATGGTGAGAGAGCAAGCATCCTTTGTGTAAATGCCCAAGAGCAGAAGAGCTGGGAGCAGGTGCAAAATTCCACAGCCAGACATTATTCAGATTGTCTAAATTGGAGTCTCCATCAGGACCCTCCCCTTGGAGACCTGTGAACCTCAGAGAAGGGGAGGTGAGACTGTGGGATTCAGAGGAGATGGAGAACACCAAGAGAACACAGTCCACTGAATCACAGGAACCAAAACAGCAAGCACAGGGCCTGCTTGGTTCTGCACCAGGTTCTCTGCACATGTTATGGCTGTTAGCTTGGTGCTTTTGTAAGACTTCTAACAGTGGGGCCAGGTGCACCTGACTCCTTTGCCTGCTCTCTAGACTCTTTTCCTCCTATTGGATTGCCTTGTCCAGCCTAGATATGAGGGCTTTTGCCTTGCCTTCATTGTTTCTTGTTTTGTCCTGTTCGGCTATCATCTCTTGGAGGCCCGCTCTTTTCTGAAGAGAAAACAGAAGAGGGGTGCATTTGGAGGAGATGGGGGAGCTAGGAGGAGTGGACGGAGGAGTGGTTGGGATGTATTATATGAGAGAAGAACTATTTTCAATTGAAGGAGAAGGGGGGAGGGTCTCAAGCAGTTCATACTTGCTATGTAACTCCACCCTCCTGACAAGAGTCACCTCCCAAAAGTCCCCACTCCTAATGCTTCCAATGTGGGGGGTCAGGGGGGAGAAGGGCACACATGTACATATCATAGCACCTGCCAAGTAACCATCATTTATTTCCTAGACCATGGCTAAGCAAGACCAGGATGGTCTCCCTTGTGGCTCGCTGAATATACAGTGAACAACACAAACATAGCACTGTCCAGTATGAAATTCTGATGGCTCCCACTGCCCATAGACCCAACTCCCCATCTCCTTGCCATGGCTGACTAAGCCTTGCTTCCTCACCAGATAATTTCCAGAAAGCTTAGTTTCCCAACTACACTTCAAACTGCCAAATTGTTTCCTGCCTCAGAGTCTCAACACACACTATTCCTTCTTCCTTCTCTTCTACCCTTTCTGCCCCCTCAACACAAGGGTGACTTATTCTCGCCACAGTGTATCTGTACATTCATGCTTGATTCCTTTTAACTCCCTGTCTCTCTCTAGGTCCTCACACTCCACTCAAACCAGATATCTGGTTTGCCCACAAGTGTACAACTCACTGCCATCATAAAACTGAGACCTAAAAGCTCATGTGCTGAACACTAGGTCCCCAGCTGATGGCTCTTGTTTGCTAAGGCTGTGACCTTTGGGAAAGAGTGGGTCCCTATAATCTGGCCCTGCTCCCTGCTCATGCTTTGATCCCAGACTGCAGATGTAGAATGACCGACAGCCTCTCCCACTGTGGAAATGACTGTCAGCAAAATATAAAGCCTTCCTGTCTGAAGTCGCTTCTGATCAGATATTTTGTCATGGCACTGATAAACACCAAAATCACCCTCAAGTAAGTAAGTACCGGGATCAGAGACCTGAGTGTAGATCCAGTGGCCTGATGACAGCAGGGATCAAAGCATCTGGGGCAGGGTTCCCAATCAGAAACTTGAGTCTAAACTTGATTTAGCAAGATGTCAACCCATGCCCTTCTGTGCAGACCCTCGTCTTCAATAAGCCAACATGCCTGTGCCCTTAAGTCTTGTGACAAACTTCAGATCTCTGCCCCCTAATGCTGACCACAAGGAAAAACTTCTGTGGTCTCAACTCCTTCAGTTTAGGTGCAAGGTAAACTTTGGTGACGGGAAATCCCTGAATGCTCAGGATTTGGACTGGTATGACTCGTCTATCACCATACACCCTGTCCATCAAAAGCAAAATACTTTGTAGCCTCGGCCATAGTCTGAGCCTGTTAGGGACAACTACATTATCAGCTGTCCCAGGTTTGTGCTTTTTGCCTATTCCGAAAAATTATGAAAAAAAAAAAAAAAAAAAAAAAAAAAAAAAAAGACACTTGGGTCAGTCAATTTGGACATACTAAAAGAAATTACAAATGTGCTGAGAATGATGACACATGATCATTCCCAGGAAGCCCTGTCTCAACAACAAAAAATATTTTCTATAAAGGGACACAAAAGATGCAATCACAGTGGTTCTCAACCTGTGGGTCGTGACCCCTCAGGGGTTGAATGTTCCTTTCACAGTGGTTGCCTAAGATCATTGGAAAACACTAATATTTACATTATAATTCACAATAGTAGCAAAATTAGTTATAAGGCAGCAACAAAAGTAATTTATGTTTGGGGGGTCATCATAACATGAGGAACTGTATTCACAGGTCACAGCATTAGGAAGGCTGAGAGCCAGCTGCACTATCAAATCGTCACCATATCACAATAATTATGAGATCCCCTAGATGTCTCAACAAAAGCCCCTCTAAAGATTCTGAGGACCTCCTAAGGTGAACGTACTTCTACCAAACTGAAAACATCATTATCCCTGTACACCCACGCAGCCACATCTTCTCAATCTCATACCTTGAAGTATAAACCTCATACCTCAAAATGTGGCACTATTTAAAGACGGGATCTAAGGAGGTAATTAAGGTAAGACAAGATGGCGTGGATAAGGCCCTAACCAGTATCACTAGATTCCTCAGGCCTGCAAAAAGGAAAGACCACATGTGGACAGGGAAAAGGCTAGGCTAGGGGAAAGGCTATGGTGGACAGGGAAGCCAGACTAGAAAGAACCTCCCACCCCTTGGTCTATAATCTCTAGCTTCCAGAACTACAAGATGATTCCTTTGGCTTAAACTACACCGTATGTGGTATGTCAAACAGTGACCCTAGAAAACAACATGAAAAATTCCAGTGGAGACATGATTTTGTTAGGGATACCCTGGTTGAATATAACAAATCAGCAAACTGCTTGATACACAGTAGATACATTGACTAAGGGGGTGGGGATAAAGGAAAGGAAGAATCAAGGACATAATGTGTTGACATATTTTATATTTGGTATTTGTAAGTCTTTAAAAAAAAGTTTTTCAGGCCATTTTTTTTTCCTTTAAAAAAAGCAACCAACAGCAATACTCTGTACAAGTATAACAGACATCAGAAATGTGCATCATTCCAAAATAGTTACAAGAAAGTACAGTTTAGAGTCCACATCAACATTTCTATTCTGTGCCCCGGGGAGAAAAGGCTACAGTTGTTAAACACACAGTTGCTACACGGGAGTCTGAAAACACAGAATTCCAACTTTGTTTTGAGGTGAATCAACTCCAGTCACCAGGCTTGTTTATTAGTTCAACAAGCGCAATCAGGCATTGCAAAAGAAAACGGGGCTTCTCCATACCAGAAAAACAAGTGTGAATCAGCTGCATAGTTGACTCTTCCCCACCTCCTCCCCACCCCACCCCACCCCCAGAGCCTCCAACCTCACAAAGCACAAATCCAAAGGGTCCACTGTGCCCAAGTCTGGCTGGAGATCACAAAGTGGCCACAGAGAACAGACACCAAATGTCCTTCTGGTGCCCATTGTCACTAATTTCGGCTCCAAAGGGAAAGTCTTTGTTCTTAGGAGAAGACAGCAATGGCCCAAGTCCTCCATGGCATCTGTCCACCAGTCTGTAGCCTTTTCATTGATGGGCAGGTTCCACCCTGGCTGCTTTTCTCTACGCAACCATCACATCTGAACAGGGAGCTCCATCGTTCCAATTTCACCAGACTCTTCAAATTTTGGTTCACAGTTCCATCGGGGGTTTGAGGCATACAGTGAGAAGTGCCTTCCCCTCCAGCCCTGGCCTCTGTCATGTACCCTCCTACCAACATGTCAATCTCCCCTTCCAATGACTGTGCTACACAAGCCCCAGCACACAGTCCTCCTCCGGATGTGGAATGGCATGGTGGCCTTCCTGTGACCTGTCCATTTGGAACTCCCAATCTCTCTGCTGCTATTCTTCCTCCTGAGCCTGGGATTAATAAGTGAGAGTGGCTTGCTGAGGCTGGCCCCTAAGGACTTTCCAGACCCATGCAGGCAGAAGCAGAGGTTTCTGTGTTTTGCATTTTTATGCAGTATGTTTATGATTATGCTGCTTTCACTTTTTAAGAAATTCCATCCAATCTTTTACAGGACTTTGTTAAGGGCAAGTCCTTTCCCCGTCCTTTCCTATGGCAGCAGAGGCTGGGCTTTGGGCTGCACTGGATTTGACCCCTCACTCCCCACTACAATGGTTCCTAGCACACTGAGGAGCTGGGTAGGTGGAACACAGAGTCACTGCCAGGCAGGCCCATCTGTACAGCACCCCAGAGTCAGCACACGCTAGAGGCAGACTAAATGGGATCTGTGAATAATGAGCTCATATTCAGCCTCACTCCACACCTGGGGACAGCATGGCTTCCCTGATTCACACTGCAATGTCAAAGTCCCCGATGAAGGTGAGTCAAGGGGCCTAATCCACCCTGGCCAGCCCTTTCCTTAAAGGGCCTGACACTAAATGAACATCAAAATGCAAAGGACTTAGCAAAAAGTGCAGTTTCCATTTGAGAAGAAAAAATCTCCTCCAAAGCATGACAGCGTCCTGACCTCTCCTTTCAATCCTCAGTACCTCGAAGGAAAGGAGGACAGAAGACGTACAGCACTACAGCTCTGACCACATCAAGGGCTTTTAAGTACATCATGGTTTACCCTCTATAACCCTAAAATATTCATGATTATGTCCAGACAGTCATCAAAGTGCTGGTGAAGTGAAGAGCAAGGACAGAATCCTGAAGGCTACCCAGGGCCCATAGTGGCCAGGACCCTCGGAGAAGACCCCACTCTCATCTTCAACAGGGTACCGTTGTCCCAAACATACAGCAGGATGTGTCACTGTGGAAAACAGCCACAGGACTCCAGGGACTTGGCGATTCCTTCATAAGACCTTACATACTTCATTGCCTACTAGAGAATAAACTCAAAACTTCTTCAAATATAACCTGAGCCACAAGATAAAATAAAAGACACAAATCTTGTCATGTTAATGCCTTGAGAAGTTTACAGATTATGTACCAATAAAATAAATCCACATAAATTCTGAAATTCTTGGTGAATACACACCTGAAGCCAAAAAAAATCTACATTTTCTTTAAAAATCAAAGTAATTACAGCAGCAGTGTAGTGAAAAGAGGTTTTAAAAATAATAATTACATCTTTGATACAAATCAAACTTTGTACACCTCAATTCATAGGAATGACTGGTGTAAGAGTTTAGTATTTATATATACAGTAGATATTGACATGTGTCACTGCAGATAGACTAAAGCCAGTGGACTTCGGGGGGAAAAGGGGTTAATCTGAGTTCACACTGAAATGTTCACAGATCACCACGCTATAAAACACAAACACACACACACACACACACAGACACACATATACAGACACACATAAAATGCCAACCTGAGTAAAACATTACTAAAAACCCAGAGCATCGTGAACCACTAAGTCACATATTGCACCTTTAAATAATCCTTCTTACCAAAGACAGAAATGAGAGAAAGTAGAAGATGGGGATGGGAAAGGGTGTACACCACGGAATGACAATTCCTCCGCTTCTCCCATCCCCCACCCCACCACACAGAGAGTCTCATGGTGATACTTTAAATGTCTATTCTCACCCAACCAATGGGATGAAAATGTCACCAACAGAAGCCTTTGGAGAAAACTGGGAAGAAAAGAAAAGAAAAAAATGGAGCACAAATGTATGTCAAGGGTGGGTCAAAGAGAAAGCCTCCTCTAATCAAATGAGAGCAGGAATGTTACCGAGAAGGCAAACCTCTGATACTAAGCTACTATTTAAATATTCTGTATATTCCAATTATGAGATTCAATATAAAAATAGAGATATCTACTGAGTTTTGCCTGTGGAAGCATAATTCAAAAAAGGCACATGTTCAAATAGAAACCCATGCAGAAAAGGCACCATGTGCCCCTCCCTGCATAATAAACACCCACAGACGTGTATTTCCATCAGCTAGATTCCAAGATACAGTAGGTAAAAATAGACCTCTGATACTTAAAATATATTCAACCCAACATAATCCTGGCTTTAGCATGTGAATCATATAAAAGTCCTAAAAAAATTAGAGATAAAGAAGAGAGAGAGAGAGGGGGGGGGAGAGAGAGAGAGAGAGGGAGAGAGAGGGGGAGAGAGAGAGAGAGGGAGAGAGAGGGGGAGAGAGAGAGAGAGAGAGAGAGAGAGAGAGAGAGAGAGAGAGAGAGAGAGAGAGAGAGAGAGAAAACACGAACCTGTTTGGAAAAGAAAAATAAAATCATAGCTCACTTTTCCTGGTTTTTCACAATTCTCAAGGGGGAAAGAAGTGAACCCATCCCATTGGTAATCGGGAATTCAGCTGATTTATACACCACCTGTCCACAGCCCCTGACAGCCCCAACTCCCTATCTGTCGTGTTTTACACACACAGCCTCATGCCCTCCAAGGTAGTTCTAACAGAACAGAACAAAGAACTGAGAAATGAGACATATAAAAACATGTCCACATCAGGGCATTTTCCTTCACTGTGGGTGTGGCGGTCTGGTTAACTTCAGAAAGGGTTTGCTTTGGAACTAGGCGATGTAACCATTAGTCTTTCCAAACATGCTCACTGGCTCGAGGTTTTCATAGATTGTCATTGCGGTTGTGTTCTGATAGATGAGATCCACTTTTGAGTCTTTCTGGGCTCTGATAATATCTAAAACACACTGGTTGAGGAAAACATACTGGTCCTGGGAGAAAAGGCAAGGAGAGAGAACCAATAAGCAGCAGTGCCAGGGATGTGCACTCAGGATGACTTTTAAACAAACAACCACAACATCACCCCCAACACACCATCTGCCCAGCAGCAAAGAGTTCAAATTAACACATCTCGGGATCTGAAAACATCATGGTAAAACGTCAAGACCACAACTTTCTAAATCAGTGATGCTTAACCAGAGGGGCATCCTCACCTTTCCTGACCACTGGGGTCAGTGAGACAAAGATGCGGAGAAAATAAAACATAAGTACATTCAGACAATAACAGTACAGCGAGATTCCCATGGTTAAGGAATCTGTATGGACTAAGAGTAAAGTTAATTTTCCAAAGAGAAGAAGGGTTAAAGGAGGACAGGGGACCTAAGTGGGGACCATTCTTTAGGGAAGTGTGAATAAATCGTCAGCTGAATAAAATTTAGAATCACCTAGAAGGCACACCTCTGAGCATGTATGAGGGCATCTCCAAAGAGGGTTACCTGAAGAGGGAAGACACATCCTGAATGTGGGTGTCTCCATCCTAGGGGCTGAGATCTAGAGCTAGTGAGATGGAGAAAGTGAGCTGAGTTACCAACATCCACCTCCCTCCTTTCTAACTGCAGGCAGAATGTGACCAGCCACATCATGCTGCCACTGCCATAGCTTAGGGACACTCTCATTGGCACACCTTCCCTTCCATGATGGACTGTACCCCAAACCATGAGGCAAAACCAACTTCAGCACAGCAAGTTTTTGAAAAAGTAACTAATACAAGCCTATGGGAATCTACAGGTAGTTGTTTAAACAGAGGAAGTATATGCCAACACAGAAAAATAACCAGGTGTGAGAATAAACCTTATAAGGAAGCATTGTATATAAAAGATGATCTTTCCCAAAGATTCCACATATGTATCTGTGCACGTATTCATAGCATATACAGAGTCCTACACCGATGCCTGCTGTGCCAGTTACTTCTATTGCTGCCATGACCAATTACCTGACAAGAAGCAATTTAAGGGAAGAAAGGTTTCTTCCAGCTCACAGCCCATCATGGCTGGGAGAGGATAGTGGCAGAAGCATTAGTTAACTGGTCACACTGCATCCACAGTCAGGAAGCAGAGGGCAGACAGGAAATGGAACCCAGATATAAGACCTTAAGGCCCTCCTCTAGTAACCCACTTCCTCCAGCAAGGTGCTGCTCCCTGAGGTCCCACAACCTTTCAAAGTGGCACCACAAGCTGCAGTCCAGATGTTCAAACACATAAGCCTGGGGGGTTATGGGGATTCAAACCACAACTCAAGCTAAAGGTGAATATGGCCTTCCTCTAGGAAGTAGGGTTAGGGAAATAAAATGTAGTCTGTATAGTCCTATAATGTTAATTTTAATAAATTATTTCTGAAAAAAGGAAAAAGAGGGCTGGAGAGACGGTTCAGTGGTTAAAGCACTCACTGCTCTTCTGAAGGTCCTGAGTTCAATTCCCAGCACCCTACATGGCAGCTCACGGTGGTTTGAAATAGGAAAAAGAGATCAGGGGATGGATAGGTGGATCAGTGGTTAAAGCAATGGCAGATCCACAAAACCCATGGAAATCCTGGGTGGGTGTGATCTCGGAAGAAGGGAGTGACCCCAGAGCAAGTCAGCTAACTAGACCAGCCATATTTTCAAGCTCTGGTTTGATTGTGAGACCCTGCATTACTAAATAAAGTAATCTAGGACAATCACACACACGCATGCACACACGCACACACTCACAGATGCATGCATGCGCGCACACACAGGAAAAGTGAAATAAGAGAAGAATCTGAAGACAGATAATAAGATTTCTGTTCTTCTCATTCTTTAAAACTATAGCAGAAAAATGAAAATCTACCACAGAAGCAAAATTGCATTCTTTCTCTCACAATCATGCAACTCACCCGAAAGCACACGATGTACCCAGACCTCTAGAACACTCCCTGCTAGACTCTAACAGAGCACATATTCATAAGTTTCTAAATTGGTACAGGGTAACAGCCTGAAACAAAATGAATATTCTGCTCTCATCCTGGTCCGGGAATATCCACCTCTGAGGAGGCCCCTTCCCACCACGCTGTGATGAGAACAGGCTTCAGATACGAGCTTACCAAAGACACCAGGAAGAACAAACCCACATCACAGTCCATACTGAGCATGCGTTTTCTCACAACTCAGTCATCCTTCCAAAGCTCTGGTAGCCTATTGTTTAACATTCAAGGATGGGTGAGAATAAGCTGCTGCCTTTGAGCTTCAGCTGCAATGAGCTATTTCCCATCATTAAAGTTTGGTAAAATCGGCTGTTCTGTTAGCTTAAAGAGGGTCAGATCTTCTTAGAAACAAGGAGCCAAAATTACCAGTCTTATACATTTAAAATCTGGAAACCAAGCCAAAAGACTTAAAAAGATTAATTTGAGGGCTGGAGAGATGGCTCAGTAGTTAAGGACACTGCAGAGATCTTGCAGAAGACATGGGTTTGATTCCCATCACCCACATGGTGGCTCACAACTACCTGTAACTCCATTTCCAGAGAATCCAATGCTCTCTTCTGGCCTCTCAAACATGTGATACACAGACACACACAGGCAAAATCACCCATACACACAAAATAAAAATAAACAGTCTCTTATTTTAAAAGAGATTGTTTGATAAGTCAGAAGCAGTAAGGACACTCTATCTGCATGGTATCTGACACTTTATCTGCACCCATGGTTCCACTGGTGCTATTGTGTCAGATGATTTAATTAGGATCTGCAAAGAAATTTACAACCAAGAGCCAGAAATACCTAGAAGAGGTTAATACTTTTAACCAAGCGTGTGACTCCACATGACGTTTTAGAGGCAGATGGGGAGCACAGAATGCCAAACACAAATGGGGCCTCACCTCTGTCTGTACCATCAGAGGCCTGTGCATCCGAAGATCATAGACAATGCCATACACATCCACGGTGTTCTCATTCTCTATCTGATAGATCAGGCGATCGATAGCAATGAAAGTGCCCGTCCTTCCGACCCCAGCACTAGAAAACAGAGACATGAGTTCATCACCTGAATCAGCTGCTTTCTTCATGGGTCTCTCAGTTCCCCCATGGTACTCACATCTCCATTATCACTGTTTGGAGCTAACACAAACACTGCTGCATCTTCAAGTGAGTCAGAGAACTCCCTTGACTTAAATGGCACAAACAAAACATCTTGCTAAACCATCTCATACTCCATGCCGCTCAAATGGTCCTATAGCCTAGGACAAAAAATTCTACCTATTTATGAAGCCCCTGCTCTAAATTAATTCTTTGGTCTTTAATTGCTAAATTCTTACTGTTTTACTGTAGGAGTGTGCTCAGCCTTTCTATAAATGACATGCCACTGCAGTATAAAAGCAATGTAAATGATATATAAGCCAGGTTGTATATATAAAAACAAGCAGCTAACCCTGTCTGGTCCACAGATTATACAGCTTGTCAACTCCTTTCTTCATTGCTCGGAGACTAAGTCCCTTGTTTCCTCTTGCAGACTATACTTGAGTTTCCAACTACCTATTGTATTTTCTCTTGGGTGTTGCTTTGCGAGGCAGTGCTCATAAATATCATTATATTTTAAGTTGTCACACATACATGAGCTACCAACTGTGTATACCTGCAGTGCACCAAGATTGGTGATTCAGGGGGAATCTGCTTCATGTAGTCTCGGACCAGGTAACGGAAGTTGATGAGCAGGTCAGTGGTGTCGGGAACACCGTGGTCAGGCCAGGAAGTGAAATGGAACTGTCGCAGAGGATGACTCTCACTTGTCTGCATCTAGAAGCCAACAAAATGGGTTAGAGACCTAGAGAGTAAGGATGCCCACCAGTCTCACATGGATCTAACACTCAGCTCAATTTCGAGTTTATATCATTTCTATTCTCAGCCAACAGCCAGTAAGAGCCCCACACCCACACACTTGCTCCTCCTGGGAACTTCATGAACCCCATCCTACAGCCCATTCACAAATGGTACTTCCCTTAAATCCTAAAATTATTTACCTAAGTATGGTCAGGAGGTTAGCACCTGCTGGGCAAAAAACACCTGGTAAGTCCTAAGCTTTCCAGATAATCTACGGAACACACAACCACCAAATACCAAGCCAATAGTTGGAACTATAGAGGTCTAAGAAAGAAACAAACATGCTCTCACACTCACACACACACACACACACATACACACACACACACACATGCATGCACGCACACGCACATGAACCCACACTTACAGTCTGCTACTTCAACATCTGGCAGGCAGGAGACAGTGAACACTATTATAACAAATCTAGTCAATCACACCAGTTTATATTCGACCTTAGACCAAGCATGTGCCTGGAATTACCAAAGCTTTGCTTCTGGGGCCAGTCTTGTCTGGGGCCAGTCCTTGATTCAGTTATACTCACTTGTCTGTACCTGACCTTACATATGTCCCCTACAGCTGAGCACTGGGCATCTCCATCACTGAAGTTAATTTTTAATGTTTATTCATTATAAAATCAATAAATCTACATTATTCAAAGTTTGAGAAATAGGAGAAGACACTCACCACAGATAACCAATATCATAAATGTTTACCTAGAGGAGCAGGGGAAGGAGACACAAAGAAACAGTGGAAAGTAGAACTTCTGGGGAGTAGTTCTGCAGAGGGACAGGGGGCAAGGGGCTCAGACTAGGGGCGGTAATCAAAAGAAAATGAAGTTCTATCTATAATGTTCCCATTCTATAAAAGGAAATGTATGCATGCGTTTCACATAATTACAAAACACTCTTTTAGAAATGCCACGTGGAAGCCTATATTGGATCCTAAAGTAAAAAAAGCCTTTAGAGGGGAATATGTAATCTCTAGAATCTGTAGAGCTTCCTTAATATATACACAATGAGAACAATAGCATTTTCTTTAATTATTTGGTCAACTCTATGCACAACTTCCCAGTGAACCCCACACAGAAGCAACACTACAAGTCAACTTAGCTTTCTCACTGGGTGTGACCTTACTTAGTGAGGTGGTCACATCACTGTGTGATCAATATCTCCAAAGGAGGACCTGAAATATTTCCTGAGGCTAGAATCTTTGAGACCCGGTAACTAATAAGAATTAGTATTTCATACATTGTGCCTTACCTATATCTTCAGGAATCTTTAAGATTCATCCTTACAATCTATGACCCAACCTATCAGCTCTGTTATATAACGCCACTGAATCTACTTCTAGGCTTTTCTTTTATGCACTGTGTATGTATGTATGTATGTATGTATGTATGTATGTATGTATGTATGTGTAATACTGATACACATACACACACACATACATGCATACACATACATACATACATACATACACACACACACACACACACACACACACACACACACACATCCCTAAGCTAAGCATAGCATCACAAACCTGTAATTCCAGTACTGAGGCTGAGGCAGAAGTTCATGAGTTTAAGGCCAGCCTTGGCCACCTAGTAAAACACTATCTCCAAACTTTGTCTCCTAGAATGTATCACTGACACTACTTCTTAATCCCCTCATGGTAATTACAGTCACTTCTCAGGATCCATGTGAACTGATACCAGGAAAGTCTGTGAATGCTCAGATTCCCAAAGAAATACAACCATGTGTGCATGCAACCTGCACACACATGCCTGTGCACAGCCATATACACATATGACAATATACACTACACAGCCCAAGTGCATAGTAGGCTATACTATCTAGGTTTAAGTATAGTCCATGATGTTTACACAGACACATTCCTCAGAATACACCTGTCATTCAACAACATACTTTAATGTGATTATACTTTAGATCATTTCTAAATTATATTACCTAGTGTATTTTAAGTAGTTGTTATACTACTGCTATACTATTGTATTTTAAACATTGTTATACATGGCTTAGGGAATGATGATCCTAATTGTACATGTTAAGTACAAACACTATTTTTATTCTGAGTATGTTCAATCCCAGGTTGGCTGAATTTACAGCTGAACAAGGCAGCATAGGTGAATGGGCTGGCTGTATGTCATCTACATACACAGTATTTCTAAAAGCTGAATGACACAGTATGCACATAAATCAGAGTTTAGTTATCCATTCACCAAAAGCTAGCTATGCATGTGGTTTCCAAATGGTTCGACCACCACAGAGAATGCTGATGAGGTGGTTATGATCTAAATAATCTGTGACTATGTATGGAATTATCAAAGAACATGTGATAATAAAACAGTAAACACTGAACAAAAAAATAAACAGAGCTTACTCATTTCTTAAAGAAGCTGTTCCTTCTTAAAAAAAAACAAACTTCTGAAAAATAACACTGAGATTGTGATTAATTAATCACAATACTAATAACTAATAAACAATGCTTACCTATAACTAACAAGACCATTCCTGAATTTCAAGTTTTTTTTTAATGTCATAGATTCAAACTTGAGCCCACAAGATAAAAAGGGATGAACATTTTTAGACCCAAGATGAGCATGAAAACGATAAAGACATTTTCACGCTCAGCAGTAGGTATAAATGCTGGCTCTAAGCACCTTCTCTACTTTCAAACACTCTTTTAAAAATGAAAAGTTAACTCAGCTCCTAGAATGTCTGCATGATTTAACTGGAATTGTTTCAGTGACTTTGGGGAGAAAGGGAAGACAGTGCATATGCCCTGCAATGTGAACCATGGAATTACCACAAACTGTTGCTAGCAGCAAGCACCCACCCCGATGCATAGCCCTACCCAGATGACCCAAAAGACCTCTGGTCACCTGGAAATAAGAAAAGTGTCACTGTCACAGCCATGCTCTAAGACTCATTTATTCGGGAAGGACACAAAAGTTCCCTCAAGAAAGTAAAGCTAGGGGCTCCTTAGAGAGCATGTAGATGTGGGCAAAAGACACTTCTCTCACGTATCAAATATTAGTTATTTCCAACCTATAAATATCATTCCCAAATTCATATCCAATAATTTTCTCAGGTCAATGTTAACTTACATTTTTCACCACAAAATCTCTAATGGTCCATTCAGGAAGAACAACTTCTGAGGTCATTGCCACAGTTATGTCCCCGTAGTCATGGGCCTGCTTGGAAGGCCAGTACTCCTCACATTTGGTCTAGAACACAGGATTGGTTGTATGAAGACAAAGGGATCCCACCGCCACCATCATCCAAGACTCATGAGGAAATACAAGCCACAAGACTGACATGGGAACTGCTCAGTCCCTCAGCTGGTTCTGTCTGACCCAACAGAGATTTGCAGATGTACTAATAATTCCAAATACTATAAATAAATCTTTAAGACAGATGAATCTGATTTTTTTCAAGCCTAAAGATGTGTGTCCAATACTCAGATCCCATTTCCAGAAACATCACATGGAAGCTGACCTTTGACCACATACCTGCTGTGGCATGAACACTCTCCAACACACATATATAAACAAAATACACACAACATAACAAAATCAATTTTAAGGAATAATGTCTAACAAGTTCCAGTTACCACCTAGAACAGCACCACTTGTGGTGAACTCCTGGCCATCAGCAGCCACACCATTGAGCTGTCAGAGCCCCACTTCTCAACAAGGAGGGTTGAGGCACATATACTCTGTGGATAGTTCTGGTAAATAGGAAGTTGTGGGAATCATGGACTCAGGGACTAAGTCTTACTCTTCAAGAAAGGGATAGGGAGGGAGGGAGGGGGAGAGAGGGAGGGGGAGGGAAGAGGAGGGAGAGGAGGGGAGGGAGAGAGGGAGGGAAGAAAGGAGGGAAAGAAGGAAGGAAAGGAGAGAGGGAGGGAGCAAGTGAGGAAGAGAGCGAGGGAGGGAGGGAGGGAGGGAGGGAGGAAGGAAGGAAGGAAGGAAGGAAGGAAGGAAGGAAGGAAGGAAACCTATTCCAGGCATGGAAGCTCGTATCTGTAAATCAGCCATTAGGAGGCTCAAGCAGGAAGATTGCTACAAGTTCAAGTCCAGTGAAGTTCTGTCTCAAAATCAAACAAAACACAAAACACTGATAGCTAGGTACTGTTTGGCAGCAGAGTATGTGCTTAGCAAGGCCTTAGCCAAGGCCCTAGGTCCAATCCCAACATAAGCTATAGTAGTAATTAAGAATTCTCCATGAAGTAATATTAATTCTCATTCTACAAACACACAATATTTTTCTCTGCATGTGTTTTTCAACTCATCTCTATGGAAATATGAGATTTTATTCCTAGATGAGATCTTATCTGTAGCAGAAATGGTCGCAGGGTTTCAGACGGTTGCTGGGACTCGCCTGGGAATAAGTCTGAAATGTTCCGTTTAGTGTTAAAAGCTGGGTTTGAAAATCAGAGATTTAGGAGCTGGTTGCTTAGAGACGGGACAGGCAGGCTTGACAGGGGCAGAGCTGACAACCCCGCACAGGGTCTGGATACCTCACTCCAGGCCTGCAGTGTCCACTGCACTAACCCTGTCCCATCCACTCACTAACTGCAGCAGAGATACAACCACAGACACCAACCCGAGCCCACAAAGGAACATCACAGAATGCTCCTTTTCAAGATTCGTTTAAAACCTTCTCTCTAAAAGCTAAAAATACAGAACATTTTCTAAGGATGAGGGTGTTAACATTTAAGAAGGAAAGGGTACTTTTGCAAAGACAAATGGAATTTAAGACACCCTCTACCACAATAAAAATTAATTTATATTTTTTTCAAAAGATACTTACCCTTCCTTGTTCCACACATTTGGTCAACATAACAATGGCATATACATTTTTCTCCCAAACCATACGCCAAAAATCTTTCAAAGTGTTGGGTAAAGGTCCTTGTGTGGCAATGAAATCTTTTTTGGAATGGTAGCCCTAGAAACAGAAAGCTCAGTCATCATCAAAGACACAGAAAGAAACGCTCTGGTTCAGAGGACCTCCCCCCCAGCTGAGGGCAGCCACCACTTACAGGCATATAGTTGGCATTGATGTAGTCATCTGTCGAATGGGTCTGGACTGAAAGTTTGACTCGAGAAATATCATCTGTGGCATTGAAAGAAAGAAAGATCCTCATTCAAAGCCGAGTTTCAGGAAATCTTCACACAGGGAGTTTTTAGAAGTATAAACTGGCAGCCCTTGGCTGACAGGCTGCTCACGCTGTATACTCACAACCTCATCTGATCCTTGTGGATTCTGTGACGGTGGCACAGAAGCTGCATGACAGCCTGAGGAGAACTAGGATTTGGACCTAAGTGACCTGGAAACATGACCTATATTCTCACCACCTTCTCACACTAAATAAACCTTTACTCCCAGCAGCCTTGGGTGCCCGCTTCGGGCAGGACACGTGCTAAGCAACCATACTCACACCTCAAAGCCATCTATCTCCAAGCTTTCAAGATAAAGAAACCAGGAGTTTCAGAGAAGAAGTGACACACTCCCAAGTCTTTCTATCTGGGGAGACAACAAGCAGAATCTGAACTCAGGACCTATTCTACTATGGCAGAAAAGACATTAAAGTTAACCTTTCCTCACTGCCTTAAAAAGTTGTTACAATGCCAGTGAGACAGCTCAGGCATTAAAGCTTGCTGCCAAGACTGATGAATGAAGTTTGACCCACAAGTCCCACATGATGGAGGGAGAGATCTGACATCCATACACATGCCATGGCACATCCACACCCATCCATATAGACAATAAATTAAAGATGGATGGATGGATGGATGGATGGATGGATGGACGGACGGATGGACGGATAAACACAGATGGACAGATGGATAAAGTTCTAAATTTGGAGTTGTGGAGATGGCTCCATCAGTAAAGTGCTTGGCATACAAACATAAGGACCCTAGTACCCACAATGCACACCTATAATTCCTGCACTGGAGAGGGAGAAATAGGCTTCTTGGGGCTCCGTGGCCAATCTAATTGAATCATCAAGAGACAGGATCAATAATGACCCTTGTCTCAAAAACGAATGGGTGGGGAGGACCTGGGACAGATGAAGAAGGAAAAAGTGTGATCATAACATACTGTCTTTAAAAAAAAAAGTGTTTTCAATTTAAAAAAAAAAAAAAAAAAAAAGGCAGAAAGCAATTGAGGAAGACAACCCAATGTCAACCTCTAGCCTCCATGTACACACACACACACTCACACATGCACACACACCCCTCTAAATTTAAGACTAAACTGAATGCATAAAACTACTATGAATGGAGGGGTCTAAAATACCAAGTTCACTTATTTTCTAAATATCACCCTTATGTAGAAAGCATACACACAAATTTGCCCAATGCCAGAAGTAAAAGTAACTGAGGAATTCCCAATGTTAGGATAAGTTGTGGGCATCAAGGACAGCTCTCTGTCCCCACCTGAATCCTCTGCCTCACCCTCCCTTGGACAGAGTAGCACAGCAATAGCAAACTCAGCAGTGCTGTGTTCTCAAGGGAAAGGTCTTCTCAATAGAAACACTATCCAGACACAAATCTCAGCCCTTTCTCCAGATCCTGCTCTCCAAGAGCAGGCCAAAGGTCTGAGTTAGTCTCAGAAGGGTAGAGGCATGACAGCTCCCCCAGCATGGCTTCAAAAGCACTTCTCTCTGATCAGGGCAAAGACCCAGTGACAAGTATAAGGGAAGAAACAGAAAAGAAACCCATGATCTAAAAAATACTGAGTTTAAAATGCAAGTTAATAGAAAAGCATGGCTTCAAATAAAAGGACAAAGTCACTAAAAGTGTTGGTATAAAAGTAAACCCACAAAACCAAGCACCTTGAGGACAATCAGAAATGGCTAAGGTCACTGACACTTCTCAGTGTACCCTAATTCCCACACCAACAGACTTCCCACAGTAGAGTTCACATTAGTGACCATCCTCATACTTCAGTTTGTTCTCACCTTGTTGGGTGAATACTGTTCTAGCTTCATTTCTTTTGTTGTGATAAACACTTTAACTAAAAGCAGTATAGGAGAGAAAAGGGTTTGCATGACTTACAATTCCAGATCACATCCACCTTGAGGAAGTCAAGCAGGAACTTAAAAGCAAGCATCCACAAGCAAGAGCAGAGAGAGAACAAACACACGGACCTTTGCAAGCTCTTTCCCTCTGAGACCATTCAGAACCCCCTGCTACACAATGGTATTGCCCAAAATGGGCTAGGTCTTCTTCTATCAATTAACCATCAAAACTAACCCCCAGAGACATCTCATGGGCCAACCTGACCCAGACAATTCCTCACTAAGGCTCTTCTTCCTAAGTGATTCTAGGTTGAGTCAAAACTGGTCAGCACAGGTACAAACATGGGCAATTCTCAAAAGCAGGAAAGGACTTCAGTGTGACTCATTTAGCTGTGGAACATGGCTAAATCAAAGATCTGGGCAAGGAGAGAGTGTGACCCTGGACCTGTTTCTCCTGCTGCCCATCTCATCCAGAACAACACAAACTAGAATAAGAATGCAACTCTGAATAGGTCACCTAACACAGAGGCTCATTTTATTCACCTGTGAATGAATATTCACCACCTACTTACTCTACAAACTGAGGTTGTTAGGATGAAATTAAACATAATACTTGGTCCATGCAGAGTACTTGGTTCATGCTTGGTAAATGGTTGTGGGAATGCCTGGTGCTCAAAGATAATGGAGATAGAAACTGAGTTTCATTGATTTCCCCACCTCTCTACTGTTCAAGATGTGATGGCCACTGCCAGACAAAGAGAAGACAGGAATAAAACCACTCACAAGGCAGGACATTGTTATAGCGATTCTTCCCTCTGTTCTCGGCTACTTCAGCTGTATATTTAGGTAGACTTATTCCAATCAGCTTCAGATCCTGAAAACAAAACAAGTGAGTTATACATTTACTCAGGCACAGGGTAGAAGAAAGTAGGGACGCAGAGGCAGAACAGATTAACTACTGAGCATCTAACCTCCATAATACCTATGAGTAGGCTCTTAAGGGATATGGCCATGCAAGATGCAATCAAGTCACACTGGAATAGGGTGGGTCCTTAACCTAATATAGGTAATGCTGTTATAATATGGGTACAGAGACTCAGACACATGAGAGGAAACACCCTGTGGTGGCAATGGTGGTGGATGGTGGAGATGGAAGCCAAGTCACCAAGAGACAATGGGGACTTCCAGAAACAGGGAGAAGCATGGAAGGATCTCCCCTAAAGACTAAGGGGAAGCAGGTCCTGCTGACTCTGTGATTTTGAGCCTCTTGAACAGTGAGACAGCAAATCTGTCTTCAGCCACCCAACATATGATATTTAGATAGGGCAGCACTTAAGGAACTAGAGGTAAAAATGAAAGAAAAAGGAGGATTCCTGCCTTCTAGAGGCTGGATATTCAGGAGTCACTAGCCTGGCAAGGCAGAGTGAGGCACACAGACCATAGACAGAACCAGGCAGTAGAAGAGCAAATGTGAGTCCTCCTGTTGGATCTGGGGAATGGGGAGGGGATGGTGTCAGAACTGAGGAGGGACTGTGATGGAGTTGCGGGAAAGATTCTAGGAATACAAAACTAGACTCTGCAGCAGGGGCACCATGTGGGGAACAGGTGTGCATTACCCTTCCCACTGAGAACAGCCCCTGGCTAGTTTGGAGAACAAAAAGTAGCAGAGGCTGAAAAGCAAGAGACTAGTAAAGAAACACCTAACCCAGGGTCACCTTTGACCCCACAGCTTTCAAGCCCCAGACCTCGAAATGGCCCACAAAGCTTATCAATTACCCTAGTAAATGGTCTCCTAGCTTCAATCCCCCCATTTCTGTCTTTCTCTGAACAATCTTCAGGTATCCACAAGAGTAAGTACATGCTCTACCAGAGGTGAAGGTGCATGGGAACTTTCTAGCCAACAGCAGGAGTAGGGTGCCCAGAGGGACAGGCATAATCTTCTCTCCCCTCTAGGCTGCCTCTCACCTAAAGCTTTACCATAATACAAAACAGTTTACGACCACATGCCTCGTATTCCTCTGCAAACCCACAGTTGGAGTCAGCTTGCTGTTTCTTAAAGTAGGCCTCAAAATTCTCCACTCGAATTAACTTGGATCTAAGAAAACAAACAACTTGTTGGTTTTTTGTTTTGGGTTTTTTTCTCTTTGCTTATTTTTTTATTCAATTAAGTTCATATTCAAAACATAAAAATGAAAGATAAAAATGAAACTACTCACTTTTTAGGTCTTCATCATAGAAAGGAAAAAGAAAAAAAATTAATCAGTTACAAAGACGTACTCATTTTAGAAGTAAACATCAACTCAAAAGAACAAAGCCAGACACAGTGAGGGGTGTGGGTTGGAGACTAATGTAATGTTATTTAAAAAACACTGAAACGCAAGTTAGGAAAGCTGCCCTTCCCTATACCTGGTCATATTTGTGACTTGAAATAACTGTTTTTCTTCAGCTCTTGACAATCCACTCTCTTTTGTAGAATAGAACAATTACCTTGTGGGGGCGCTGTGGAGATAGCTCAGTGGGTCAGAGTGCCTGCTGCTCAAGCCTGGGGTCTTGAGCCCCAAATCCCCAGAACCCACACATAAAAACAGGTGTGGCCACATGCACCTGAAATCCCAGTGCTGGATCGGGGTAGGGACAAGAGGATGACAAAGGCTGGCTGGATGCCAGCACAGCTCTGAATTTAGCAGGAAGCCCTGTCTCAAGGGACCACAGCAGGCAGCGATAAGAGCCATCTCCTTCTGGCCTCTGGGCATTCATGGGGATGCATACCTGCACACATGGGCACACTAGGTACACACAGAGAACCCCATTTATTGGTAAAACTGAAGGACGTGTGGGAAGACAAAAATAAAGGTAACTTCGGGAGGACAGTAAAACAAAGACTCCTTGCAGAAAACAGCAAGAACTTCCAGATGACCGTGGCCGATCTGTCAGTCAAGAAAAATGTTAGCTATTTCTATCACTGAACAGACTGGGGGACTGAGAATCTTAAAATAGATTTGTAATTCAGACTTACTTAATTTGAGAAAACGACACTTCATTACTTTTGGCATCTTTCCTATTTTGAAAGGGGAAAAAAAAAACCCATTAGACAAAAACCTTCATCCTGCTCTGCCACCTTTCACATATCCACAGACACCTCCTTCCCAAGCAGAGACTCAGGTAAACCAAAAGCCTGCTCACCAGTGCCCGGCCAACATAACCCTGTTCACTAATGCTCAGCCTAAAAGGCCAAGGAGGAAACTGAGGCAAATCAAAAAATCTATTAGAGCAACTTTTAGGATTTTTCTGTGTGCATGTGTGCGTGTGTGCGTATGTGCGTGTGTGTGTATGTGTGTGTGTGTGTGTGTCTGTGTGTCTGTGTTCATTCCCTTACTGTAAAAGCGACTGTGGGAATTAATGCAGAGGGGGGGAAGCCCTGAAAGAGTCAGATCCAATACTGCCACTGTGAGCACCTGCCTTGTCTGCTCAGCTCCACCTGGTGCTGAAACAAACTGCAACTGGGCAGCATGCACCAAAATAGGAAAAAATGAATGTGTGCCCACTGACCCGGTAAGTGTCCTGTTTGGAATTTGGAAATAACTGTGAGCAAAGGATAGATACAAGGATATGAAACAACAGCCAGCAAAAATCCAGCAGCTACTTAAAACGATGCTGAAATGAAGCCTTCCATCATCAGGTCTTATGTGACCAAAGCAGGGGAGACATTACTGTGTCTAACAACTCTACTGGGGTGAGTGTCATACTCACATGAAAATGCTAAGGGCAGATTTGATGTAATTACAAGTTTCTTTGCTTTTCTTGTGTGTGTGTGTGTTTTTTTGTTGGGTTTTTTTTTTTTTTTTTTTTTTTTTTTGGTTTTGTTGGTTTGTTTTGTTTTTTTCCACCAAGGGTTTGAGTTTTGGGTTTGGTGATTTATTTGTTTGGAGACAGAGCCCACTGTTTGGCTCTGACTAACTCTTGCCACCAGCTTCCTACTGGAACCTGGCTCCCTGTGCCCTACTGACTTGACCACTGACATTCCAGCTTTTTCACTGGATTCTGATTCATTTTTTAGTAAAGTGTGCAAGATTTAATTGATAAGAAGAGAAGCAACTGCATCTGATTTATTTAGGAGAAAGGTAAAACAACTACTGTGGCACATGCCTATTGCCTCAGCACTCAGTAGATAGAGGCGGAAGGATGAGTCATCCTCTGCTACATTTGAAATAGCCTACGATACATGACACTCTGTCTCAATAAAGGGGGGTAGGGGTTGTCAAGAAAGCCAAATCCCAGATGGAAATTTCCTGCTAGAAGCACCTGGCAGTAAGTGAATTCCAACAGACACAGGCTTCCCACAGTCAGGCGAAAGGAAGTGCAAAGACCGAGTTCAAGTTCCTCTTTTGGTGCTTCCAACACTGGTTCTGCATCCCCAGAAGGGCTTTTAGACCTGCCAGTTAGAGCCTCGGGAAAGCCATGAAGCAGAGGGCAACCAAAATGAAACTGCTACTCTTCACTAACTGACTACATCACAGTGTGGTGGCAGAAAGAAAATAATGGGTAACAAGACATGGAGTGAGATATTTGCCAACACTCCTCAGTTCCCTGAGTAGAACACTCACTCCCATACCAGAGAGGAGGACATTAAGGCTAAGCCACTTCCCACAGCTAGCAAGGGTGGAACTTAAGTTCGAAGTTCTTGGCCAACTCTAAAATCGTATGAAATTCTTAACACATTTATAGGTCCCTGGCTTGAAATCAGCATCCTACATAGCAGTATAGGTCTGATGTGGTGACTGGGGTGAGGCTCAGAATCAAACCACCCACTGGAGTCAGGGAGGAAGTAAGTCTGGTTCTGACTCCTTACGATGAAAGGTTTCCTTAAACGGAAACACATGATGACTAAATAAGCAGTATCACCTTTTCTTTCTCCAGAAGATGAAGCTTCCCACAGCCACAATGGCCAGAGCACCAAAGATACATCCGAACACTGCTCCACAGATGACACCTGGGGAAGGTTCCAACAAGAGGCATTTCAGTTGGTGTTCACAAAGGGTCATGTGCTACAACAACCACCAGCCCCAGCCCCAGCCCCCAGCCCCACACAGGATTCAGGGAGAAAGGGGGTGTGGTACACGCAGGGGGGAAGTCCATATCTTTGGGCATAAAATTACAACCAGCTGTTTCAAGAGCAGGGTGACACCAGATATCGCGGTAAATAAGGATCAGGATAAACAAATAGGTCAAATAGATGTTTATTCAGGGAGAAATAACTTACAACCTAGACAGATGAACACCAGGAAATTCAACCCGATCCTCTCCTGTCCGAGTCACTCCAGAAAGAGAGCGCCTTTCCTGGCCCCTTCTGACCTCCTTCCACAGGTCACTCCGCCCATGGCTCCACCCCCAATGGGCGTAGTCAGTGCCACAAAACTATCTCACTACAACCGTTAGCAGGATGGTCCCGAGGCTATCACAAACCCCTGGCTAGGTCTCAGTTCAGCTGCAAATTCAGTGACCTGAGAGAGTTAGATCAGTGGATTTTCCCAACACCTATAAGAAGTATCTACAATACAATACCACACACACACACACACACACACACACACACACACACACACACACAGCATGGAGCCCCCCTTTTTATGCGCTACCTAAAGGGAGGAATAGGGACTCCCTGAATTTTGCTTCTGGGTTATCTGTTCTACTCAGCAGCTATGGAAAACAAATGAACATACCAGATGGCCACTGTGTCTCCACCCTGGTGGAGAAGGGGAACCCTCACGTTGGATCCCTGAAGTGCTCATGTATCTAACTATGATACTGGGTAGGAGGGCTACTTTACAATGACATCCTATGGCTAGGATTTTAGGCTTGCACTTAAGCCACTGTGCAACACTGGGCCTCAGCAGCCTTTTTTCTATGCAGAGGTTAGGTAAGACAACTTTGGGGGCACCTTCTAATGTGAACATTCAGAGACTCTTTAAGCTAAGTCACATGTTTGCTGGCACATGGGCCCACAATTGACTCTTAGAAAAAAAAAAAAGCAAAGGACTGAATAATCTGCAGATTAGTAGTGTGACTGATTTTAGAAGAAGTAAGGAGCAGCTCTTCCCAGCACACCAGAGTGGGGAGCTAAGCTGGCCCAAAGGCCAAAGGCCAAGTTAATTCCCAAGAGGAAAAAGCCAGGCACCTCCACCCGCCTAGAGGCTCATGGACACCAGGCTTCTGCAGAGAGAAACTCTGACTCAAAAAAGTAGAAAGGTACCTAAGGAATGACAGCTGAGGTTGTCCTCTGGCTCCCGCACACATATGGATACACATGTATACAAACAAGCTCACACACATGTGCCTGGACCCCATGAACACACATAAACAAAACATGGAGATCTCTCTCTGACTTTCAACATTCCAAGGTGGAAAACCCACAGGACTGATGTTAGGGCTTTTGTTCCCCTCTACCTGGATCCTGAGGCAAGAACACGGCCTCCGAGTACTGACTGAAAGACACATAGCTCTCGTTCCCATTGATGAGTCCATCATTGTGAAGGGTATAAGTAATATTGGTGAAGCCAGCGACACACACCCTATTGGGGGGGGGGAGTAGAAAATAAGGTAACTAAGGTGTACCTACCACCTCAGTTATGTCGAATCTTATATTCATAAGGCTCAGCACCCAACTGCAAGGACCCGTATTACCTGTAGGAGCCCAACGGCTCCAGCCTCCCGTTGTAATAGCCGAGGGTGGTGGATTGGTTCCCCACATCAATTTCATATTTCAAGACTTCAGACAAGCCCAGAGAACGTCCCTTCTCTTCTATTCGTATGAGGTATGTCACATAAGTATCCGAGGCCCCCTTTTTGAAATCTTCATATGTATACTTCAAAACATCCGCAGAAGGTTGGCCAGCTAAGAAAGAAGCACAGAGACAAATCATGAGTGCCAGCAGAAAAGATGCAAATGTCATGAAACAGCCCAGTAATGACATGGTGCTGAGCGACACTGCCAGTGGCCACTCTCAAGCAATTCTGGGAGTTTATGGCACCTCCTCCCTTCATCTTCCCTTCATCTTGAGTCTCCCACAAAAGCTTATGATCCCTATTCTCAAGCAAGAAAAACAAAGGTGCAGAGAACTAGCAGAAACATGCCCAAAGCCACACCACACAGGCTGTAAAGCTAGATTCCTAGACCTGATCTCCTGGCCCAAGAACCGTGTCTTTCTTGTGTCAGGCTGGTACTAACTGGCCTGGTCATCATGCAACAGGATCTTCTTCACTCAGCATGGGTCTGAGTTTGCAACGTGTTGAAAACAAATTCAATGACAAAGGGATTAGAAACATTCTTGGAATGTTTAAAGTCAGAGAGAGATCTCCATGTTTTGTTTATGTGTGTTCATGGGGTCCAGGCACATGTGTGTGAGCTTGTTTGTATACATGTGTATCCATATGTGTGCGGGAGCCAGAGAACAACCTCAGCTGTCATTCCTTAGGACCTTTCTACTTTTTTGAGTCAGAGTTTCTCTCTAGCCTGGAACTTCACTACACTGGCTAAGCTGACTGGACCAGGAGCTCAGGGATCCTCCTGTTTCTTCCTCCCCAGCACCAGGGTTACAAGGACATGTCACAATGAACAATTCTTTCTGTAATGTAGGTCCCAAGGACTGAACACAGGGCCTGCACAAGGCAAGTACTTTACCAACTGACCTATCTCCCTAGCCCTGGTTTGAGTAAAACACTCCCATGCAGCTGTCGGAGATCCTTCAAATCATTTCCTCCTAACTGGCATAGAAAAGCCATTCCAATTCCCTCCCCTCTCACCCAGCAGATGCCCTTCACAGAGTCCCACTAGCAAGTGCGATCTTTTTGTGCTTGCTCTGAAGAGCTAGTCATCCTAAGTTGGCTAGTTATAGCCTTTGGGCCAAATCTATCCACTACCTGTGTAAAAACAGCTGTGACGATGTACACCCTCATCCCTCATGGATATCCCACACATGTTTTCACACCACCACAAAGGAGCTGGATAGTTGTGACAGAGACTGCATGGCCAGGAAAGTTACTTGCTATCTGCCCATTTAGAGCATCAAGCAAACAACTGCCTCCGTCCCTGTGAAGCACAGGCTGCAATGCAAAGGGGCATGTACTTGTATCACTGATATGCCTCAGGGTGACAGCATCCCTCATAGTGTGGTTCATTGAGAACAGCCCCAATAGGCTCACACATCTGAATACTTGGTCCCCAGTTAGTGGAACTGTTTGGGAAGGATTAGGGCATGTGGCTTTGTTGGAGGAGGTGTGTCATTAGGGGTGGGCTTTGAGGTTTTAAGTGTGAATCCAAGTGTGTCATCACCACACACACACACACACACACACACACACACACACACACACACTTCCTAGTTGTAGATCAAGATGTGTGCACTCAGATGTTCCTGCCACTGTGCCTTTCTTTACTCCACCATCATGGACTCTAACCCTCTGAAACCGTATACCTGTTAAACACTTTCTTTTATACACTGCTTTGCTCATGGTGTTGTATTACAATAAAGTAACCTGGATAGTTATGTCACAGGAGTTATCCCACGCTGACCCCTCCTTACCTTCCCCAGTGGTGAGAATGATGGCATAGGCTTTGATAGGTCCATTGCTGGCTTTAAAACCACTGAACTTAACCTTTACTGAATTGTGACTGACAGATGTAATATTAGGGGATCCATCTGGAGAAGGTGGGTCTAAAACAAAACAGAAGAATCACCCAACATTTAAAATCAAGGAGAAAAACTACCAGGTAGAGATTACACTCAAATGCTCTCTACAAGACATGATCTACCCACGCCCAAGAAGATCTGCCCCTGTACAAGAAGCTGTATGCAGAGATCATCCAAAACATATCACAAAGTAAGGGGCAGGAAGAGAATAAGTACTGTGCTGAGACCAGGATCCTGAACAGGCCCAGATGACAATGACTCCACAGATGCCCCCACATTTACCATCAGCTCTCTAGCTCTTAGACAGTCAGAAAGGATTTCACACTTCCCACCCCACGACTGGCAGCGGCAAACTATGATAGCTTACCCAAGGCAACTCCAAAAACCCATTTCTTCTCATTCCTCCTTTCAAATGCTAAACTTACCCAACCCCCTGCCACATCCCTTACCCTCAGCACACACGAAACAAACCCGACAGACTTTCACCCCAACTCTCTTTTCTCCAAAACTTCCCAACCCAGAGAAAATACAACTTTGCATTTAATTTGTGTTAAATATATGAATTTATAAAAATTCATCTGCAAAAGGAAGCTACCAGTTGAAAAAAAAAGAGAGAGAGAGAAATGCTTATTCCCTCCCCTCACCTCTTTTCTTTATTTCCATATAGCCCAGGCTGCCTTGAACTCCCTATAATAGTCAAGGCTGACCTCAAACTTTTGCACTTCCTGCCTCTACCTTCCACGTGCTGGGATTACTGGTATGTGCTACCACATGCAGTTTACGTAGTGCCAGAGACTGAACTCAAATTTCATGCATGCTAAGCAAGGCTGTACCAACTGAGTTACGGCCCCAACCCAGAGATACCTAGTTCTGATGACCTCCTATGCTCTATGCCAGGTGCTACACTCAGCCCAAGAGGCACAGACCCAGCCATGGCCTCTGTTCTTCAGCAGTGTATACAGAGATGATACCATGAACAGAGGAGCTACAAAGGGGGGAAAGAAGTGTTCACTGTAACCACTATGTTCTACAAAGCCAAAGTGGTGAGCCACAGGGCAGAGCATCACCGTGTGCTACATAACTTTGGGGAGCCTCATGCAAGCTGCTTTCCCCGTGACTCTACAGTATACAACCTGAGCAGCCAAGTGTGTAGTCTTCAATGTGTAATGGGCAGGACAGCAGTCCTGGAAGGTAAGTGCTGTTTCTCCTTTTCACAACTGAGACTCTTTGCAAGGCTAATTATCTTTTCTAAAGATCACATGACTGGTAAATGGGACAAACTGAACTCAAAACAGGGCCCACCTATCTATTCTGAGCCTCAACCACTTTTCAAGCCAGGCCCCTAAAATAAGGGGTCCTTTCAGAACAACAGCCAGTTCTTTAGAATCAGAAGAGATAGTCTTACGCCCTGAAGAATATTTATCTAAAAGTCAGAAAAACACAAAAGAAGATATAACACCACCGTCCCACCAGCTGAACTAAAGCACAAGGTTGGTAAAGGCAAGGGAGCAATGGGCAGACAAAATTAATCAATTGTTCCCAGGCAGAAGGGTGGGGGGAGAAGGGGAGGGAGAAAAGGAATGAATATGAAGGGCTGGATGAGGAGATCCCTGCACAGTATGTTATCTTTTCTTCCCCCAAAGCAGCTGGAGCTCTTGTCAACAGATTCCAGGGAAATAAGTCCTGATTAAATATGCAATAATGTTGTTGCTTTTAAGTCTTCTGCTGTAAGTATGGTGGCCAGGGTAATGTGGCTATATTTAAAAGGAAAAGAAGGTCCTTATCTTGAAGTGGCCCATGTGGAAGTACTAGCAAATACAAGCAAACACTGTTCAAATCTAGTTTCAGAGTCACCACCCTTCCAGTGACAACTTAGAAGGCCAGGAGTGGCCGAATGCTGACAAGTTCCAACATCCCACTGCTCAGACCTAGTGCATATTTGGCCAGTTCTATTAAAAATGCCTTTCTTAAATGCAACAAGGCAACTCCATACTATAAGGGGGTGGGTGGAGAAATGGAAGGGAAGGGAAGAAAAAGAAACGAAACACGGCAACAACCTACTCTGTATGGCCACAGAACACAGAACTACTCAGAATGTGAAACACATGCCTCGCTTACTCTGCAGTTTCAGGCTGGATTTCTGCAGAATAAGGTAAGCAGTCTGCTGGTAAAAAAAAAAAAAAATACTTGAAGGGAATGTAAACACCCTAAAAGGATACGTGGGCTGCCCCTGATTGCTGCTGAACCAGCTGCTCCAGGGGTAGCCAGCTCCTGCTACAGGACCCACCTGTGATGCCAGTGGTACAGGTGCTCTGGGTGGGAGCTGCCATCTTTCCACATGACAAGGTGACAATGCTGATGTTGTACGAGGTAGAAAATGTCAAATTTTGTACTTTTCCCCTGCATTCTGTGTCATCCTCTGAAGTGCAGCTTTTCAGGTATGTCACATTGTTCCAAGTGTCATTCCTGACCCCTAGCTCGAAGCCTGCATTCATGCCAGGGGGGGAAGGCCAATTCAGAACCAGAACTGGCTCCTTAGGGACCCCCTCACAGTGGAAGAAGGCCACTGGTGCAGGTTCTGCAAAGCAAAGCACAGGGCAAGGAAGGTAAGGCTCATAGGAAGCTGAGGGCCTGGCCCAGCACAAAAGAGAGACAGCATGGACATGCACAGGTTGAGTGAACTAAGCAATACGAAACCATGTAACCTTGGGTCAGTCACCTTATTCAGTGGGGTTCAGTGCACACCGTCTGAGGATTTAGTGAAACATGACTCTCAGTCACCAAGCAATATTCTTGGAAGAGCTGAAGAGAAGGCTTAGCCAGTAGAGCACTTGCTGCTCTTCTGGAGGACCCAAACTCAGTTCCCAGCTCCTGTTTCATCCATCCCAGCAATACATGCTCATGTGGGTTTTTACTTGCTTAAGGCGACAGACAATGGCAACAGAAGTCCCAGCAACACCACACATACCACAAAGTAAGCAAGTGGACCACATGGGATGCAGTCTAACTGAGCAAGGGCCACTAAAACCACAGAGATCTTTAACCTCATCATAAGAAAAAAACAGAGGTCAAGCATTGAGCTCTGGTGCCTCCTGCTTCCCCCCCCCCCCCGTGGTCCAGCTCCTGCAGCTCCACTCTGGCCTCCCATAAATCCTCCAACACTGTGTTCTCTCCAGCCTCAGGGCCTCTGTACTGGCTGCTCCTCTGCTCCCAGTGCAGGGGTCACAATCCTGTGGCATCCATGTGGTTGCTCTTAACTCCCTCAGACCTTGCTCAGTCACCTTTCCATGTGGCATCCTCACATGACACCCTAGATAAGAATACCATTTTCCACTTCCCTAGTTTTTTTCCTCTTCCCTCTCCTTAGCCATACTCATCACTGAACTATTATGATAAAGATCAAGAGGAACCTTGGCAGATTTCATGGCAGGTAAGGGTGACCGAGGCAGAGGGACAAACATGCCAGACAGACAGAGCTTAAGTGAGAAGTTTTATTAGGAATGGAAAGGGGAGGAAGGGGAGAAAAGAGGTAAAGAGGCAGAGAGACAGAGAGAGGACAGGAGAGAAAAGGGAGACAAAGTCCTGTCTGCCCCAGGGAAAGAGAGCGGGAAAGAGAGAAGGAAAGAGAGCAGAGAGCAGAAATAGAGCGTAAGTGGGTGGAGGTCTTTCTTTTAAAGGGGTCCCTTGCACCTGGGCTGACCAGGGTACTGCCTGAGTGTATTCTGCCAGGTGATAGGGGCAGGCTAGTATAATGCCTGAATCCTTACACTAACTACCTGCTCACTTTTACTTATTATCTGTTTTATTCACCAGGATAAAAGCTCCAGAAATGGAGGGACCTCTCTAACACAGCAAGTTTCAATAAACACATGCTGAATGAAACGATGGCCAACAGCCTCAATATGCCATTAATAAGGTGCCAGCTGTCTTGCAGCGCTCCATGTCCACAGTTGCCCACTGCAGGCACAGGAACCTGCAGGCTGGGGAAGGCACCCTGAGTATCATAAAGGGAAGAACAGGGACCAGTAGAAACACAGCACTACTCACCCATACAGAATGACTTCCAGCCAGGTGCCAGTGACTCTGTAACATTCCCAACTTTTGCAAAGATCTCCACTGTGTAAGAGGAGCCAGAGACTAAATCAGAGACCACCTGAGAAGTGATCCCAACATCTGTGATGATCATCTTGGTTATACTGCTACCATTTCCAGCCTTCAAGATAAGAAGGCGGTAGGAATATTTAGGAGAGGCTTTGTCCAAACTGTTCCACGAGATGGTTGCCACAGTGGTGCTGCTGTTTACTTCAATGTCAGACACATTGCTGGGCCCTTGGTTTAAAGTTAAATAAACAAATAAAATGAACAACTCTGAATTACTATTTGATTCACTATATCCAAAACTGGCCTGGCTTTTTTTCAAGAAAAATTAATATAATTAATATGTACTGCTTCAAAAGATGATTACCGCCAAAAAGACTTTCAGAAAATTATACATATTAAATCTGAAGACAATTTAAAATGCTCAGGCTTCTTTTAATATTTAAGTTTATCATGTACATTCCAATACATTATTATTTCATAGAGGAGGAAGAGAGAGAGAAAGCATTACAATTCCCAAGCTCCTTCTGGAATCTAATAAGGAAGAAAAAGCATATGATAAGCTAACACTTCCACCCTCTTTTCCAGCTGAATGCTAGGGAAGCCACTTTCACAGTGTCACAGGAAGAGACCCTCATCTGAGGGGACCTTCAGTGCCTCGGGACAGCAGTTCCTAGTCTGTGTTCCTGGGCCGTAAATAGTGGGCACTACAAATCTCTCCATTCTCATATGATGGTGTTTTCTGCTTCCAGAGAATAGCTCTGTGTTCACATGACTCTAGGCGTAGTGCCCACCAGAGCTGGAAAGTCATTGCTAAGACTGCTGTTTTTAAGTTATGCAGCTCCCACATCAACTTGAAACCCAGGGGTATAATGCACCCTTTCTCCACCCTTTACTGTACTTCCTCCATGTGACAGGTGGAAGAAACACACCCTCTGCCTCCCATCCCCCACTGGACTCACGTGTGTACTGGGTAATGGAGGTGGCATCACCCTGGACCTGGTCCACTTCTGGAGTGACTGTGACATTATATAAGGTGCCTGGGGTGAGGTCCCTTAGTGTAACTGACTTCTGAGAACTGGTAGTATTGCTGGGGCCATATTCAGACTCTAGAACTACATGGTAGTTATATTCAGAAGCATTGTCTGTACTCTCCCATTCCAGCTGCATTTCATTGGAGGTGACACTGACCACTCGGATGTTAAACACAGCACTTCGGTCTAGTCAGAGAAAAGGAAGAAAAGTATCTAATCGTGATTCCAGCTTCAATTCAAAGGATCTGTCAAAAGAACCAACTCTTTGTTAGCCAACTCTTCAAGGAGTTCAGACACAGTGCATTAGAAGTCAGGGCCAGCCTAAACTAGAGTGAGACCCTATGTCCAAAAAAAACAAAAAAGAAAGAAAAACCTCCAATGAGTTCACAAAGGCTGAAGTGTGTGTCTGGTACCCATGAAGGCCAGAAGAGGAATCACTGGATCACCTGACCTAGAGTTACAGGTGGCTGGGAGCATGTATGTGGGTGTTAGGAATCAAACCCAGATCCTCTGGGAGATCATTCGGTGCTCTTAACTGCTAGCCATTTCTCCAGGCCCACACTCCATTTCTTTTCTGAACTGGGACTCTGATGCATTTCACCTGAAGTACTTCATCAAGCTATGTTCTGAGCATGGGCACATTTTTTTATACCTATATTGTACCTCAATAAAGAGTGTGTTTAAAGTTGAGCATGATGCACATCTATCATCCCAAAAATATCTATGAAGCTGAGGCAGGAGGACTTCAAGTTCAAGGCCAGCTTGAGCTCCATAGCAAGACCCTGTCTAAATAAGTAGGCTAAGAAAATCGTGCATTCATATGGCCTGCCTGGAACACTAAAGAGGGAAGAGTTTTATAAACCATAATACGGCTACATGATGAAACCTTTCTCTAAAAGCAGGAAGGTCAGGCTAGCTACGGGGAGAATCACTACACACACAGCAAAACATTCAAATATAAATAAAATGCATTGTATAACTGTGACAGTGTGAACAAAAGGTGTGGCTATGGACACAGACAGGAAGGAAATTCAATCACATGAGAGCAGTTAAGAGTTACATATGCTCCCTTCCCTCTAGCATGATAAATAGCATACTATTTATCATTAGCCATCTGTCAATGTGCACTTTGGCAGTGCTAAGCATATCCCTAGTATTGTATAAACATTACCATTATCACACTCAAAATGTTTTCATAATTTTTCAATGTAAAATCTGTACCTACTTCACACTACCTTCCCATTCCCTCTACCCAAGTTTCTCTCTAGCTCTGAACCTGCCTATTTTAGACACTTTGAAAAAAAACATAAGTATTTGTCTTTTAGAAGTGTGGTGACACATACCTTTAACCCCAACATGTGGGAGACAGAGGGAGGAGGATCTGTAAGTTTGAGACAAGCTATTCCATATAATACATTCCAAGCCAGCTAGGGGTATACAATAAGACCCTGTCATTAAAAGTAATAGTAAAATTATCTTTCTGTGACTTATTTCACATTGTGAAATATTCTTTGTGTGACTTATTTCACTTCCAATATTTATAAGATACATCTATCTTACAGCATGTATGAGGATTAGCTCCATAAGGCAGAATAATATTCTACTATGTAGAAACAAAGCCATATTTTGTCTGTGTGTCAATGAGTAAAGGTGGCTTCTATCTTTGGGTTTCTGTGAATGAACACTAGTGTACAAACAGCTATTTGAGATCCTGCTTTCAATTCTTTCTGAAAGACACCAAAAAATGGAAAGCTAGATCAAAAGATATTTGTTTCCCTTTTTCTATATTGCCTTTAATGCTGTTCAACTATGTCCTGAGTGATGGTGACAGCTATTCAATAACTCTAAGTTTCTGGGGCCTTACTCAAATCCTTCTTGCCAGCTATTTCCAGGAACCTATCCCTAGGCCACATATAAATACAAGGCTGGTTTTAAATTATCCCATAAAATAAGCATTGCCAGACATGCTGGCACATGCCTTTTATCTAACACTTGAGAAGCAGAAGCATGCTGATCTCTGTGATTTCAAAGCCAACCTGGCCTATAAAGCCAACAAGTTCTAAGCCAGCCAGAGCTACACAGTGAAACCTTGTCTCAATCAATCAATCAATCAATCAATCAATCAATCAATCAATCAATAAATAGCTAGCAATGACAGGGAAAATATTTACAATACACAGGTAAGTGAAGAGAAAGCAGACTATAAAACCACAAATAAAGACAGCAAGATTTATAAAAGGTAAATATGTATGTTTGCGTGCATCTTAAAATAGTATCAAGGAGCTAGTTATGATAGCATATGACTAATGACAGCATTTGTGAGGTGGAGTTCAAGGCCAACCTCAGTCACATAGTAAGAGAACCACATGAGACCTATCTCAAAAGGGGGTAGGGGGCTGAAAGATGGCTCAGTGAGTAAAAGCACTTGTCACACAAGCCTGGCAACCTGAGTTCAATTCCCAGAACCCTAGAAGAGAACCAACTCCCAAAGTCATCCTCTGACCCACACACACACACACACACACACAGTGTGGCACCTAATTGATGGGTTTACATGTGACTTTTTTTTTTTTTTTACTTTATATTAATGCTGTGCACCACAGTCATGAAATACTTTAAGATTCTTTTTCATAAAAGGAAAAATATACTTGGGAAACAAGGCATCTGTAAATTATGCTGGTCTCCTGTAAGGGACTTCTGTGTCAGGATGCTCACCAGTCCTGCCACCAACTGCTCTGGATGGCCCTTCAGTCCCATCTGGTCCACGCGGAAATATTTCAAAATGGTAACTGGTTCCAGGCTTTAAGTTTTCAACGGTAAAGCTCTGATTTTTGGTTGTGTCATTTTTAATCTTCTCTCCTCCCTTGTGCATGGTAAGAATCCTAAATTCTGAGTCATTGCTTCTCCAAGTCAAACTGATTCCCGTTGTGCTGACATTTGTCACCTGGAAGTCAGAAACTGGAGCAGGGGCTGTGGAAGACAGTGAGGAAAGTTAGATGAAGAATGTCCATCTCCTGGGCATGGTACAGTAGTGGCACTGCCCACAGTACTAGCACTGGGAGCCTACGAGCCTACGACAAGAGAGATCCTGAGTTCAAGATTTCTGGACTACAAAGTGAAAGCTTGTCTCAAAAACAAAAGTATAAAGTCAGTCTCCAGAAGACAGGGTGCTGAACCCTCATAAAACACTGACCTGGTCTCCCTTTTGCTTTTCTCCAGACCACCAACTACCGTATAAGTCCCTTCAAAACTGGTTCTTCTAGCTAAAAAAAAAGGTCATTAGGCCACAAGAATACAGATACCATGCCAGTCACCCACAGGCTGTGCCAGGAGGTAAGGGTTCCCAGGCTCTGAGGACGAGTGCTGGCCATGGCTGGCTTCTTTATCTTGAACATGTTATTATTCCCAAAGGTCTAATCTCACCTCTATCATTCCCCTGCTAAGATGCCTGCCTACATCACCTCAGACATGGCTTCCATTTACATCAAATAAGACTTAACACCAACCATACCACAAGGATGTCCAAGCACTCGGTGACACAGTGCAAAAATGGCACATCACTTAACATGTGATTAGGGCCAATCAATAATCACTGTCATTATGTCTCACACTCTTTAGGGCAAATGAGACTGTGTGGAGCCAGAGGCAGTGCTAGGCTTTCCTTCAGGACAGAACTGGGCTTCCTTCCTTGCCTTAAACTGAGACCTGGCATATAGTGGAGCACAAGGAAGGTGAGCTATAGAGTGCTGGTTAGTTTTTAATGTTAACTTGGCATAACCTACAGTCCCCTGGGAAAAGGAAACCCTAGTTGTCTAATTTCCCAGAGTGGATTGGGCTACAGACATGTCTGTAAGAAATGGTCTTGATTGATTGATTGATTGAGTATTGAGGTGGGCAGCCTCAGCCCACTATAAGCACACTATATTTGGGCAGGTGGCCCCGGGTTGTTTAAGAAAACTAGCCAAGCTCAGGCCAGGAAGCTAGCCAATAAGCCAAGTTCTTGCTTCTGGTTCAGCTCTGCCGGGACTTCCCTAAGTGATGGATTGGTTGCCACCTTGAAGTAGAACCTGAAGTAAACTGTTTCTTCCCCCAACTTTCTTTGGTCACAGAGTTTACCACCACCACAACAGAAAATCAAACCAGACCAGTTCCAAGGAGTGAACTTACAAGTATACACTTGGAGGAAGCCTGGTGTGCCCTCGATGAGACACAGGAAAGGACGTACTGTGATGTTGTACAAGGTGCTCGGAGTGAGTCCCTGGATGATGGCCTCAGTCTTATTGACAGTTTGGTTGATGGCACTGGACCCCCCAGCCACATGTATCTTGTAGGTGTAGGGAAAAGATGACCCATTATAATTGCTCTTCCAGGTCAGCGTCATGTTTGTGGCGCTGATGTTCACAGCTCTGATGTCAGAAACCTGGCTGGAATCTTTGAAGACACAGAGGAGTGAAAAAATAGTCAGAATGGTCAAGTCAGAACAAGAAGAGAGGAGAGTATCATCAGGACCTGCCATCAGTCCTGAGCAACACACTTAGAGACTGGTCACCCTCATCATCAGCTCACGCGGATCAGTGAAGACATAGTCTGGCCAATTGTACCTCACAGATGCTCTGTTTTCAGCTTGTGAGCAGATCTCGAAGAGACTACAGATTCCAGAGCAAACAACAGTATGGACTTTTACATGTGCTGCTGGGGGGGAGGGGTGTTGCCAGAAAAGTCCTTGAGGACACATCCGCCCAAGAACAAACACTATTCATCACGAATTAAAGGTCTCACACCTGGACAGAGAGCACACAGATTCTAAGACTAGCTGGGCTTTACCAGCCAGGCAGACCTTAGGAAAGCCACAGAGCTGCTTTCTCAGTTATCCATCCTAACTTTACAAAGAGACAATGTGAGAACTAGATGTCCTCCGATTGTTGTGGAATAATCTTTCGTACACTGTGAAGATGTGTGTTTGCCAAGGCACCATCTGACTAATTCAATAAAGAGCTAAATGCCCAGTAGTTAGCAGGAAGAGGTCAGGCGGGACTTCCAGGCAGAGAGCGTGAGAGAAGAAGAGATGAATCTAGGTGGAGGAGAGACACCAGAGGAGATGGAGAGGAGTTATCTATTCTCCAGATCATCCTGTCTTTCTTCTTGCCTGTCCTGTGCCCCCAGGAACCTGCAGGTGACATCACTGGAATCCTCCCACGTGAATGAGATGGGCAGGATGCTGAGGGCTGGCTGACAAGGGAACAATCAATCAGTCTTATATCCACATCTTCTGCTTTACCAGGCCCCAGAAAAACCTGTCTCCTCCCTCACTCCAGCTCTGGAGGTAGCTTTCCACCAGCCACTTATTTAGGTCCTCAATATACTCTGAAAGTTCCCTTAACCCTGACCCACTTAACCAGTCACTTGAACAAAACCAGATGGGGTATGTGGGGGGAGGAGTGGGGAGGGTTGGGGGTGGCTGTGTTTGTGTGTGTACACATGTGTTGGAGATAAATAGATAGATGCTATATAGATATATTTCCCCACCTCAATTTCACCTGTTAAAATTCTAACTGCTGGGCTGATGCCATTCAAGGTGGGCTTTTAGAATGTGGCTGATTAATCATGAGGGTGGGTGGAACATCATGGATAGGGTCGGTGTCATTATTAAGAGGCCTGTCTGTACTGTGATATTAGGACACTTATAAGCTGTAGGGTGTACAGCTCAGAAGGAGACCCACAACCAGAGATGAACTATCCCCAGCATTTGACTTTACACTTCTATCCCCCAGAACTATAAAAAGTAAACATTTGTCATATAAGCTGTCCAGTGTGGTAATTTGTCACATCAACCAGAACTAACTAACACATAGGTACAAACATCATATAAAGACCACATAGCTTCCATATTTATTAAATCGTGGAACAGTTCACCACAAACCACAATCCATATGCATCCAAAGCAATGGTCACAGTCACAGTAACTTTGGTTTTTCTCAAAGTACTTTAAAAGCAGACATTCAGAATCCTGACTACATGACTGCTCTCAGCAAATCAGGCAGATGTCCCCTTCTCTGGACGGACCCAGCTCAGCAGGTCTAGTAAGGACACAAGGACTAGATATGGACCATTCTCCTATGCAAGCTTCTCAGGTATAGAACAGCCTACCACCAATAACAGTGTCTGTGGGGAACCCAGTCTCTTCAGCCAGCCTTCCTCATCCTGAGTCTCGATGTGCCACTGTCACTAGACCACTGAGGACTTTGAGGTCAAGCAGCTGCTCCAAGGCAACCTCTCTCCTTCCCACCAAAATGTTATCACTTCCAGAAGAGGAAAAAAGAAAGACACAAGTTGCTCCTGCTTCGGCATGGACACTGGGGAAAGCTGTCATTCCTTACAAGCACAGCTTCTAACCAACATCTCCTCCACATTTTCTAACCATGTATAAGTAGCACAGCCTCACCAGCCACTGCCGGCAAGTACTCTAAAGCACGCTTCTTTCTCCCCCTCCACTCTCTAAGGGAGAAAATTCTCAAGCTATATATAGGTGTAGTATCTCTCTGAGAGTTATACTGAACCTTCAAGAATTAACAGCATGGTCAAGATATCACTTAAGCCCCCTCCTTTCCCCTGTATCCCCTCATCTCTCATCTCAGACTCTAGTCTTCATTTTCCAACTCCTGAGCTCCTGGGTGGCCCTCCTGGCTGGATCCTGTCTAGGGCTTCTTGCTACCCTAAGCTATCTGCTGCTGTCACCCCTCAGGATAGGAGGCTTGTAATCCAGGGCTATCTTTTATAAAATTTAGACAGAAGAGTTTTTTAAACAGAGTCATAAATCTGTTAAAGGCCCTTGGGTGAGTCACCTTGCCCCCAACTCTCCCTCTATCCCCTTGCCCTCTGCCCTCACACCCCAAGTCTGTCATCTGTATTTCTGATCAGAACACTTCCTCAACTTAAGTGTCCCTCTCTCCTGCTCCTCTTCAACCCATCTCCATTTATCCAAGCCCTACCATCCTCCCTATAAGAGATCCTCCCACAGGATTTCAGCAGAAATCATGCTCCATAGCATCTGGAGGGCAGCAGAATAGGCAGTGGCCATGTACCACCTATGCAGCAGCTGGTTCCTTTTCTAAGCAGCACCCAACATTCTTGGTGAGAGGAACTGCTAATCACCTACATGAGAGTCAAAGGACAACAGCTCCCTCACCCAGCACAGCCATTCATCAAGCAGATACACAACTTCTATCCAGGAACTCTGAATTTCAGCACATCACCAGATCTAGGGTAGCACTTCCTGAATGCCACTTGTCACTTGTCCTTGTCCTTCCAGCTTTGACCCTGACTCCCTCAGGTCTATTGACCTAAGATAATCTTCCAAAATATTTTCTGCTAAGACACCCCAAGCCAGTGCATACTAAGTCCCTGATAGCAGCAAGCTCAAAGGACCCAAGTGAAGATGTCTCCATATAAGTTTATCTCAAGCCCCCATCGCTATAGAAAACCCCCAAGACCAGGAACCATACATCTCCTTATTCCATCATCAGCACCAATCACAAAAGCTTCCAAATACTCACAGAGTAGGAGTGCCTATGAGTCACAGCTAATGTCAGCTCACACACTGAACAGAAAGTTCAATATCCCAAAGGCAAACCCAAACAGAAGCTCTCTGGCTAATCTGCAGATACAGAGGTGAGGTGGCACCCCACATCTACACCCCTGCTCAGTGTTTACTGAGCTTCACAGCTTCACAACAGATATACCGTGACCACAGAGGTTAAATAGAAACCCAATGCATGGGCTCTATCCAAAAATCTTTCTCAGGAAGATCCTGCTAATAACAAAACTAGCTGCTAGGAGAAACAATTCAGATAAGAGAACTGCAAAAGAGAAAACTTTATGTGGGGAGACTCAGGCTGAATCCATTTTGTAAAATCCAACCTACTTGTTATAAACACTTCTTTGTTTCCAGGCTGCCCTTCTGTGTCATTTGCTGCTTGAGAATAAACAATGGCTGTGTAGTTAACATCAGGCTTTAACCCAGTGAGCAAGACCTCTGTGAGGGAAGAACCCTGGACAGAGCAATGTAAATTCCTGTGTACTTGAGATAGGTTGGCCACTGGGATTCTCTCGGTGTCATTGGTATCTGTTTCAAACAGGGAAAGCAAAGACATTAACAACAAGAGAATGCAATCCCCACTTTTCATCACCCCATCCCATAGGATGACACATCTAACAGGGCCCACATTTGGCACTCCATAAATATCTGTTCTCTGCCTCCTCATGAGAAAGATCCAGCTTCCTGAAAAGAACAAGGTATTTCACTTGTACTATTACTCCAGAAACACCACAGATTTTTGTGTGGTTTTCTTTGAACTCTAGTATACTGGACCATTCTCTTTTCTTTGGGAGCTTATCTTCTACCATCGCAACATGGTTTCCCACAGACTACTCTGTAACTCCACCTTTGCTAACTCAGGAATGTTTTCCCCTGGACTACAACCAGGTGGATGGCACAGACAGCAGGGGATGAAATGGGAACAGCTCATGGGCATTTCTCATTGAACCATGTGGAAGGGCCTCCCTGAGAAACAACCTCACTTACAGAAGAAAGCAAGAGATGAGAGCGGCCCATCTTCTGAGGCCCTCACTACCTATCATAGGCCATAAATTATCTCTCATTCTACGCATTTAACATCTGGTTTCTGATCCTAATACCCAATTTGTACCTCTGTTTCCTTAGTGTAAAATGGGGATGAAATCTCTGTCCTTCCTCATTTCAGTTACTAGAGGAATCCACTAAAAAAATGCTACAAAGTCTACAAATGACTCCTCCAAACAAAGCACAGAGGACATCTGCTCTTTGCCTACGAAGGACCCTTCTTCTCCACGGAGATGACTGGTTCAGCCATCCTTAGGTTAACACTTGTCATCTGTTCAGTAGAGAAAAGAGTGAAAAGGCCTGTCTACTTTCCTGAAGTCCGAAATCCAAACATTTCAAGCCCTACCACCATGCTGGGCCCCGTGTTCACTTGTACAACAAGAGCCCTCTTCCTTCTTCACAAATGGATGAGATCAGACTGTGCACTGTGGCAGGAAAGCCCTCCAGTGATTCTAACACTCTGTATAAATACATGAACAGTATGTTTTAAAACCAGAAAAATGATAAAACTGGAACCTGATGCACAATTTTGTAACTCTCTTTCTGCAACCAGCAAGTCATCCTGATTCTCGTTTGATTCTGGAGAAGGCCAGATATTACAGGGCCCCGGCTGCAGGTCTGAAATATTGAAGGACGAATGTGGAGTCAACTGTTTGCTGTTTCCGAAGTGTTCGAGAAGCATCCGGTAGGAGGTGGCACCATTTGCATTGCTCCAGATGAGAACAGCCTGTGTCACACCCATGAAAGCAACTCGGAGATCACTCACCGGCCCAGGTTCTGTTTCAAAACACACACTGGATATTAGTGGGAGAGGTGTCTGCAGTCATCTCTCTTTAAGTCATTGCCACTTCAGAGTGACCCACTAAAAACATTTCATTCGTATCAGAGTCTAAACATCGCCACGACATCATGAAGACAAAGAACAAACACTATCCAAAAAAGATGAAAAGGAATAAACCCTAAAACCAAAACTGCTTACACTATGTTACTGTTCAAGATTAACACCGATAGGAATTCTTAATTCTTTAAAATACCTTCCACACAGTGACACTTAACTGTTTCTATTCTAGACACTTGAAGAAAAAAAAAAAGCATTAAAAAAAAAAAAAAAAAAACTGTTCCTAAATCTAGATGTCTCAGTTCAACATAATGTGAACAATATCATTTTATAGTGCCCAGATGTTCTAACCCAGGAGACAACCTTGAACTCCAATGCTAATGAGATTTTCTAAAAGACTTGCCTAGACCTTTCCATCACCTGATTTGCCTGGTGGTAACAAATTAAACCATTTCAGTTTAGGGGACATGCACTCCCTTCCGTTTTTGTAACTTTTTTACTGTTTCATCAGTTGGTTTCACTGTGTAGCCCAAGTTGGGTGCAAACTTGCAACCATCTTCCCACCACTACCTCATGAGTACTAGGACAGGAGGTGCGTCCACCACAGCGAGACCAGCAGGGGCAGGATGACTCACTCAAGAACATACCCTGCCAGCGGCGTGTTCTGTGAGGAGACTAGAATGCTAGAATGCAGATAAGCACAGAAAGACGAGAGCAGTGGTGTCACAGAAAAGAACCCTGCCTGGGGTCTGAAGAGGTCAGATTGCAAAGATACTGGCCTTTGCAAATGATTCCACAGCAGCCTCCTGCTCTCACATGAGGTGACTTCTCATGTCAGGTATCTCAGAGGCAAAGCCTTCTAAATCAGGTCACTGTGAGCTGCTTGGTTTTGCAGTTAAGTGGGAATTGCATGGAGGCCTCCATGCCCATCCAGCACTTACTATGTGGGTACTGAGGACCCAAACTCTAGTTCTCCCATTTGCACCATCTCTCCAACCCCAGAGAGAGAGAGAGGGAGGGAGGGAGGGAGGGAGGGAGGGAGGGAGGGAGGGAGGGAGGGAGGGAGGGGAGGGAGGGAGGGAGGGAGGGAGGGAGGGAGGGAGGGAGGGAGGGTTTTGTTGGTGCTGAGAGTTGAACTAGGGTCTCATACATACTAGGCAAGCATGATACTACTGAGCTATATATCCCCTGCTCTCTGTCTTTATTATTAAAAATTTTAACACCAATAAACTAGACAATGTAATGGATCTTGGTGGCCATATGGATATCATGGTACTCTAGTAGCTAGAATCAGGCTCTTCAGGTTCCAATTCAATAGCTTAATATCCCATACTAAGGGATCTTAGAAGAAACTTCTCCATATCACAATTTTCACCTTCTCTCTTAGTTTCTATGATGACAAAATAATGTTTTTCATACGCAGTGTCTGATATTATCTCATCCATACAGCCCTGTTCTGTGAACTCCAACATGGGTAAAGACACTCTCCTTACCTCCCCATGTTACTGCTACTATAGTCACCAGCCATGTTTACCTTGTCCCTTACTTGTGATACTTTTGTCCATGGGGTCTCCCGGGGTTATTGTCGGAGTGATGAAGGAAGTAGCTGTACTTAAGTCTGTGATGGTGTATAATGTTTGGTCTTTAGCAGTAGTAAATGTCTTCTTTTCTATCTTAACCTCTGTTACATAAGGGAACTCTGAAGGAGTCTTCAATGTTGATCTCACGTTGGAGTCAGTTTCATTGTTAAACACAGAAGTCGATTCTATTTAAATATAGAAGACAGATACATTAATTACATATAATAAATGTAAGAGTAAAGCCCACCTTGTATGTCTACTTTTCAAAACTCAATTTTATTTCTCTTCATTTGCCTCTTTGACTTTCCTGGAATACACACTCATGCACAAGTATGTGTTCTTAAAACTGACAACAAAACAAATAGAAATTGGGTCATGCTGTGAGTTTTACATAGAGTGAAATTCTGACATAAGCTGATACAGAGAGATCTAAGATGCAAAATGAGTCTCAGAAAACAGACTAAGAAAATCTAGTCTACCAACTGGCTGAAGCTCTTGGAGTGAACCCCTTAAAAGTACTCCATGTTAACTCTACCACACCAACTCTGAAGAGTTATTATTAAGCCATCATGACAAAATAGACAAGACATTACCAGACAAGACATTAAGACTTCAATCCTATTAGTCCCTGGTCATAAAATTTTATTCAAAGTCATCTCAACTATCAGACTATCAGTTTCAGCCTTAGTACAATGCCAGGTATGCAAGATCCCAAACCGATGGAAGCCAAAGGATTATTCATAGTGACACTACCAAGTGTGTGTACCCTGGTTAAGTTCAAGATAGAGGAGCAATGCCCAGGAACAGCAAAATAGAATTGTAAGTTATTGCGGTAAATAAGGATCAGGATAAACAAATAGGCCGAATAGATGTTTATTCAGGGAGAAATAACTTACAACCTAGTCAGATGAACACCAGGAAATTCAACCCGATCCTCTCCTGTCCGAGTCACGCCAGAAAGCGAGAGCCTTTCCTGGCCCCCTCCGACCTCCTTCCACTGGTCACTTCCGCCCATGGCTCCACCCCCAATGGGCGTGGTCGGTGCCACAGAAGGACTATCTCACTACAATTCCCCTTTTAGTCTAAAGAAAAGATTTAGGCTTAATACAAAACTATATACAAAACAGTGAATAACAAGTGTGCTCCAAGAAAAGGAAAATCGAGAACAAAATGACCTACATATCTAGTCCTAGGGTGAGGGCATAATGGAGTTTACAATAGAGTTGTCCTAAGCTGGAAAACGTAAGTCTAGTACCTAATATATCTAACTAGGAAGAGAGAATAATAGTTGTGATAGTTTAATCTTTAACCTCATCAAGACCTGAGAAGGAAATTAACAATACTAGAGTAGACAGGAAATGCGGATGGACAACTTCCAAAAGGTGCAGCAAGGACAGAAACAGCAAGCCACCTGAACAGTCACCCTAGGTCTCACAGCGACGTTGGTACACCCAGATTTGGCTAAGGCCAAGAGAACTTGACAGACCACAACAACAGCAGGGAAATAGAATGGCTATCTTACCCTGACTTGGCAAGGTCAAGCAGTTTTAGTTTTCATTAGTTAGGATTAAAGATAAGTTACTTAGACTTTAGACACACAAAGATAAAATAGATGATGAAATATTTTCTTCAAATCTTGTTAAATGTTAATGGACTAAATATTGTTAACTGTGATTCTTACTTGATAACTGTTGTATAATATATTTTGCTATGTTAAGGTTAAAACCCTTCTTTTTATTTAGACAGAAAAGAGGAGATGATGGGAGATGTCATTCTGTATGTTTCTCATACTGGTTAATAATAAAGCACTGTTGGCCAATAGGAAAGGAAGATAGGAGGGACTAGGAGACAAGGAGGAAATAGGAAGTAGGAAGGAGGAGTCAAGATGGAGAGTCTGGAGAGAGCAATATGCGGCAGCTGGCTCCCGGTAAGAAGAACACGTGGACATACATAGATTAACACAAATGGGTTAATAACTAAGGCAGAGCTAGCCGATAAAAAACAAGTAACCGGGCCAACAATATTGTATCAAATACAGAGTCTCTGTGTATTATTTGGGGCTGGCGCGGCGGCAGGACTAGACCTGGCGGCGGGAGGAAAAACCATACTCGTTACAGTAAGTCCTTCATCTTAAGGTGCTGAGTAGACCTAGGATAACAAACATCTCGGCATGAACGTGATGATGTGCCTCACCTGGCTCAGGACAGATGCAAACTTATCCAGTTTATAGAAAGGGGAGGAAGAGAAACAAAGAGAAATGAAACACTCTACAAAGTACACAAATCACTGGGTGCTGCCATTTACAGTCAGTGATAAAGATGACGGGAGCAAAGTAGCAACAGCTACAGCAGAGGAGGAAGCAAATGAGCAGCACACATGGTGGGTAGTTAGCAATGTCCCAGACGTGCTACCAGGTGCAGAATGTGCGCCTTCCACTCACTCCTCTCACCTGCAGCAGGACAGCTATGGCACCATTCTCAATAGGAAAAAGATATGCTAAGAACTGAATTTTTTCATCCACACAGGGAATCTGAGTGACATGTGGAAATAGATTCCTACATTTCAACAACTGTGAGGAAGAAAAGCATGCTTCCCCACCCCCAAACTTTGCTAAATGTTCCCACTCCATTTATTGAAAAAATACTCTGGATCTTGTTCATTCTATTAGTCCAACATATCGCATATGCTGTTTGCACATGCTGAACCATCCTTAAATCCCTGGGATGAATCTCACTTGATCACCATCAACAGTCTTCAATGTGCTGCTGAGCTAGGTCTCTGGTCTTTTATGGAGGAACTGACAATGCCCTTTATTAATATAGACTTCCCTCTTAAGGACAGCCTTTTGCCTTATCACATGTGGTTTAAAAATATGGTCTTTCCATTTTTTTATCAAATGTTTCAATCCTTTTTTTGTTGTTGTTGTTGTTTTGCATTGTTGGCTATCTGAGAACATGTTGCTAGTTTCCAAATATCTGTGAAGTTTCCAGAATTCTTATTAACAGATTTCTAGTTTTCCTTGATTGTGAGAGATACTTGCAGTGCTTTGAGAATTCTTATAAGATGTATTTTGTAGGGCTAGAGAGATGGCTCAGAGGTTAAGAGCACTGGTTACTCTTCCAAAGGTCCTGAGTTCAATTCCCAGCAACCACATGGTGGCTCACAGCCATCTGTAATCCCGTCTGGTGCCCTCTTCTGGTGTTGAAGCAGACATGTAAGCAGAGCATTGTAAACACAATAAATAAATCTTTAAAAAAAAAAAAAAAAAAGATGTATTTTGTAGCCTAGCATAGGTCTATTCCAGACAGTGCTCAGTCTCCAGTGGAGATGTATCTTTTAGGTCTCTTTAGTACACACATAATAGGAAATCTGTCCTTCATCCTTACTTTAGCACTGTGGGTAGTTAACACAACTCTCACACCCTTCTGTAGTGGTCTGAAAGAAAATGGACCTTAAAGGGAGTGGCAATATTAGGAGGTGCAGCCTTGTTGGAGTGGGTATGGTCTTGTTGGAGGAAATGTCACTGTGGGGAAAGACTTTAAGGTCTTTTTCTCAAACTTCATTCACTGTGACAGTCAATCAACTTTCTACTGTCTTCTTGTCAAGACGAAGACAGCGCTATGTCTTCCTGCATGCTGCCATGGTCCCCATCATGATGAATGATAATGGACTGAACTTCTGAAACTGCAAGCCACCACCTCAATTAAATGTATTCAAGAGTCGCCGTAGTCATGGTGTCTTTTCACAGGAATAGAAACTCAACTAAGACAACTTCTCAATGTGGTGAAAACACCTTCTCAAGTACTCACCCTGTTACCTGTCATAGAGGGTGACTACAGATGGGTCAAGTTTACAGCCTTAATCCAGAAACCAGTTCTGGGACCTGATCCTAAATCCCACTCCCTAAGTGATATGGGCTAAATCACCAAAACCCACACATTAAAGTAGTAAGCACCAGTACCTCCAAGTGTATGTGTGTATGTGTATGTGTGTCAGAGTCATGAGGTCATGAGGGTTGGGGCATCTCACAATAAAACAGGTGTCTTTGCGTGCTGCAAAATATTTGTGTACACTGTAATGATGTATCTCTGCCTAAGGCACCTTGTGAATGATTTAAAATAAAGAGCTGATTGACCAATAGCTATAGGTAAGATTTCCAGGCAGAGAGAGAGAAACTGGGACAGGGAATCTAGGTAGGAGATTTTACCAGCAGACTTGGATCAAGTCAGATGTGAAGCACTAAGAAGAGGTAACTGAGTCACATGGCAGAATGTAGATTTTAAAAAATATGGATTAATAAAGTTGTAAGCACTAGTTAGAAAAAAAACTAAAGTAAAGCCAAGATTTCATAGTTAATAACAAGTCTTCAGGTCATTATTTGTGGACTGGCTATACAAAGATAATCCAACAAGAAAGCTTGCTACATTTGGTATCCAGTGCATGTGACATGTAAATCCACACAGGGACTGAGAAAGCTGTGGGGGTGGGGGTGGGGAGTAGGCTCAGTGCTTGCAGCACACATAGGCATGGCTTTTAAGAGACCCTGCTACCAAACACTTGAATGGGATTTATGAGCAACAGTGGAGGGGCTAACCACTGCTCAACAGTTTAAGGTTTGGCTCACACTGTCAGAGAACGAAGGTTATGGACTTGTAAAAGTCAGATCCAGACCAAGAAAACCTCTAAATAGATACATTATGCTTAAAATATGCTTAGATGCTGAAGAAACAAAAGAAAACAGATACAGGCAGTCACATAAAAAATAAATAGATTAAAAATAATAAAGTCTTTAAAGAGAGAGTAAAGTAATATAAAAGAAAAAGTTACATAAAAATGGGAAATACTACACAGGCTGTCTAGATCTTATATGGTGCTTTGCTGACTTAAAACTTTTTTTAAATGTTAATGGACAAAAAAATCAGCTTATGGTTATGGAAACTGCTAAATTAAACCAACTTATACATTTTAAGAATGTCTTAACTTCAGAATGGAAGTCAGAAAATATATTACACTGGGGGAGAGGTTTTGCTTTAGCTTCCACAGAAAACAAAAAGCTATGAATTTCTTCAAAATTAATAAAGACCAGATTTGATTGGGGGAAACCTGCTAAAGACCTTGGCTATAGACATGAAGAAGGGGGCAGTGACAAGAAAAACTACAAGACAGGCAATGTATAAGCAGATCCTTCTGCATGGGAACAGATCTGAGATGGATGAGACATGATAAATCTTGTTAGCTACAGAGTCCTCATGACTTACTATTATATGCCATCCTTCCATATGGCATAGATGGAGATTTATGTTACAGTTTGGTTATACAGTCCAAACAGACTTATAAAGATGACAGATGCCTTTTACCTGCTCAAACATAGAACAAGAAATCATCTTTAAATAGCTTGTGTACACCATACATTCCATAGTTGTGTTTATGCAGATATACATATGTTACCTTTGAAAGTTTAGGTGTTAAAAAAAAAAAAAGACCAGACACCAATAAAAACAAGTAGCCCAAGTGATCCATCCTCCCAGAATGCCCCTGTTACAGTTTCCTCAAAATCCTGCATCCAGAACAACTTCAAAGCTGCCAGCTGAGATGGTCCAGCTCATGGACTACTCCAGTCAAAACTTCAGATAAGCTCTACACTTTCCCATCACACACAGACTAAATAAAATATATATATATATACTAATTCTCCCAGGACTTGATCATTATCCAATTTTCTCAGGGTTCCCTAGAGATGCTGTCACCTCTCCCCTAGACAACAGAAAGCAGCCTCAAGAACATAACATCACATTCCCATGAGGGGGATAGGTTGTTTCTGATCCTTTGCTGGATGTTTGTCATTGTTTAGGGGGATTAGTCACAAATTGTTACTGCTCATGTTCAGAAAAAAAAAGAAACTAAACAAAGGAGATTAGATTCCATAATCTCTTTCTGAAAAGAAAAAGAAGGATATAGAAATAATAGGATAAAAGAGTATAAATTATTAATCTAAACAATTTCAAATATTTTACAATAGTATGGATTTTTGTATATTGATACAAATTTAAGGTTATCTTGTTAGACTGTATATATGCTTCTGCTCTTGTTTAAGGTACTTTATATACTGATACACGTATGTTCTTATTTAAGGTATTATACCTATGCAGCTCTCTTAACAATGTAATATAAATTTCTAGGTCTTAATAGTTATTATAAACTAAGATAATTTAAAAATGCAGGTTAGTAGACATCAAACTTGTAGTCATGTTAGGTATGTTTTTAAGGTCAAACAAGAGATATGTTTTAGATAGACAAATGATCTTCAAACACTTCAGAGAGCTACAGAATATGGCATTTAAGATGTTTAATAACCAAATGTTTTCATGACAGTGAGACACATCTGCTCCTGGCAGCACCAATTTACTTCAATAAAAGATAATGGTTGTCAAAGAATTTCCTTATGCAGTCTGCAGCAAAGTTAGCCCCTAGACAAGAAACTGCCCTTGCCTCAACTGCTGACAGTATGATGTCCAAACTATAAGTGTCTGCCAATCTTTGCCAAGACAAGGTACAATAGTCCTCCAAAATTCCTGCTTCACAGAAAAGTCTGTCAGATATTCTAGGTCTGTAGGCCAAAGATGAATGTCCCAATTTTATAAAGGAACCTTGAGTGACTGTCTAGACAGGTAGCTATTTCTATAGTTTTAGAAGTAGCTTGCTCTCTACTTCCAGTTTTCTCCGGTAATATTTTTCCTTCTTGGGTCTCTAATGAAAGCTCAAGACTAGTTATAACGTTTTCTTTGTTACTAAATTAAAAAGAAACTTACAAAAGAGATGTAATGTTTGTAAAGGTTGAGAGACATAAAAGCTTGTTTATCTGAGAAAACGCTTTGAGTTTTAAAAAGATAGTTTTGGGTTGGTAATACAAGTTATGATAGAAAATTGTTTAGGTTTAAAACTTTGAACTCATCAAGATAAGACAGATAATAGAGTTTTCTCCAAAATTGCCAAATACAAATGGACTGGACATTATGAATGTAAGTCTTACCTGATAATTATTCTTAGTTAAACCCTTTCCTTTTTATTTAGACAAAAAGGGGGATGCATTGCAGAATATTTGTGTACACTGTAAAGATGGGTCTCTGCCTAAGGTGCTTTCTGATTGGTTTAATAAAAAGCTGAATGGCCCATGGCTAGACAGGAGGGACTTCTGGGCAGAGAGAGAAATTGGGAGGAGGAATCTAGGTCTCCAATTTCAACAGCACATTCAGGACAAGTCAGATATTCAATACTAAGAAGAGGTAACTGAGCCATGAGCCATGTGGGAGAATGTAGATTAAAAAAAAAAAAAGAGGTCGTTAAGTTATAAGAACTAGTTGAGAAAATCCTAAGCTAAGGCTAAGCTTTCATAATGAATAATAACTCTCCAGGTCATTATTCATGAGCTGGTGATCCAAGATAGTCCAACAAGAAAGCTTGCTACACTTTGAAGAAGGGAATATTATTACATAGGCACAAGGGCAAGGGGAGCCCCATGGTGGGGAAGGAAGGAAGGAAGGAAGGAAGGAAGGAAGGAAGGAAGGAAGGAAGGAAGGAAGGAAGGAAGGAAGGAAGGAAGGAAAAAACAGCCACCTGTGTGCAGAAAGAAGCTCCTGAAGTGTAAAGAAATAAAACACATACAGTGATGGTGATGGGAGCCCCTGCAGACTAACATAGCACCCTGCCAGTGGTCCCAGGAGTTCTCAGTTCCCAGGGAAACCTTCTGGCTTGGAACAGCTCTAGGATACTTTGAATACTCCCTGCCACTGAGCATTCCACAACACTCCACCCTCTGAGCTAGACTGCACTCGAGAGGTCAGACTCTGCAGGCCAGTGGCCACAGATACCTACCAGTTTATCTACCAGACTGATTCACAGGAAAGACACCACCTGTGTGGGTTCCCCATTGTTTGCAAAAGCTTTACATAATTACTGCTGTTAACAAAGATTTGCCCCCTTTGTATAGTGCTGAGACCAATGTAATCATTTTATCTCAATGATTCCTAGGCTTTGGGATTTCTTTCTTTTCTTTTCTCCCCCCTCCCCTGCCCCCCGCCCGCAAGGGATGAAAAATGTTCCTGGGTTTTAGGGACAAATAAAAGCTACCAATTTTTTTCCAAAAGAATATGCATTTTAAAAGTACTAACTACTATTATCCTACAGAAATAATAAAGTCTTTTTTGAAATAACTTATTTACTTTAATTTCTTGTGCATTCCTGTTTTGTCCATGTGAAGGTGTTGGATCCCCTGAAACTAGAGTTACAGGCGGTTATGAGCTCTCACGTGTGTGCTGGGAACTGAACCCAGGTCCTCTGGAAGAGCAGCCAGTGTTCTTAACCACTAAGCCATCTCTCCAGCCCCAATAGTAATGTCTTGATCCCAAAACAGATGGTGCTTTCAGCTGATTACATTTAGCTATATTAAACCATCATTACCAGATCATCAGAATAGCATCATAGTTATCCTGTCTTCCTACAGACCAGGGGAAGAAAAGCACCTCACCACACCGAGACCAAGGGGAAAGGGATTCTGTTTTACTTTGCTGTTCTGAAGGTGGAGCCCAGAGCTTCATACTTACTGGGCAAGTACCAAAATTCAAAAGATAGAGGAGGCTCTCTCTCTCCTTCTGAAGAAATTCTATAATTCCACAACACCATATTTTGAAGATCGTAAAATAGCAACACAAGAAAGTGCTTGCAGAATAACAGCACATGAAATAGGAAAATAAAGTATTACAGTTTCAATTCATTTATCTCACCCATGAATAGAGTCTGGCAAATGAAAATCGCAGAAAACCCAATGCTTTTATTAATCGGTTGCTTCTCTATGTCCTCCAGGCTGCTGTCAAACTCCTAGCTCAAGAGACCCTCCTGAGGAAGCCTCCCAAGGAGCTGGGAGTACAGGACTACTCTTAGAATTTTTATAGCTGTTGCTACACAGCTAACTGACTTTCACTTGCTGTTTCTACCTTCACTTGATTTCTAAGGAAAGAAGGAAATAAATGGGCTTTAACACATTTTTTTTCTGTGATTTTTTTTCCTCACATTTGCTGTTAATGTAGCACTATGACCACTAGGGGACAGTAGCAAACAACACAAGAATGGAAAGAAGCAAGGTACTCACCCACCGCACCTGTGCACAAGACCTGTAACGGAAAAGAAAAGGGAAGTCAGCAGATTCATTCAGCCATGGAAATGCAAATCAGATACGAAGCAGCTGGGGATTTGATACTGGGGGTGGGTGTTGAGTGCAGGGAAGGCTGATGGCCATGGTTAGGTGTCCTAGGGCTTTAAATACAGGGAAAGTGCAAGTCAATTGCACAGGATTAACCGGGTTTTATGGAGGCCATGGGGCTGTTGACTACATAAACCCCGTGTTCCTCACAGCTCCATAACCCAGTGCTCCCTCTTGTCCCTGTGAGATGAACTGAAGCAGAAGGACACAAAAGTAAAGTCAAGATTGTCTGGGCCAGAACAAATGAAAATGAGGACCGAAGACTCTTCCCCACAGCCAAGTGCAGGCCCAGTGCACTGATGAGGCCATACTTGAAGTGGAAACTCAATGGGTTTGGGATCTTTCACCACACAAAAATTCACCTTCTTCAGTCTACCCGTTGAGGGCAGTCACTTTTTTTTTTTTTTAATCATCTGGTATGTCACTTTGGGAAGGAGTGAAATATGATTTAGTTGACAATGTCAATCTTCCATTTGGGGAAGAAAAAAAATCCCTTTAGTGGTATTCATTACCATCCATACCATAAATTATTTCCCCAAAGCATAATGTAATTCGAGGTTGTATGTTTCACTGTTTCTTAAATACATGCTTTCGGAAATTGGAATTTCCATAGTATGGTGATTGTGAAAAAGAAAATAATCAAAAGAAGAAAAAAAAAAATGCCCTGCAACTTCCCACCATATTTAGAAATAAAATCCACTCTTAACTACTCAGCAGGCTCCTCTAGTCTTAGCGACATTCACATTCTTGAAGCTAATTTCCCCTTAGAACCATTGCATATTTATTACCCCTTGCAAAAGAACACTGCCCCAATACCTCATTTCATAGGATATGCCCAAAACGTCACCCCTTCAGAAGTCTCTTCACTAACCGCCCAGGAAAATTCACCCTCACTCTCCATGACCAGTCTCCTCCACATGGGCAGAAACACAGTTGATATCGTAGATGCTCAAAAATGCCCCAGAAAATAACAAATTAGCTGATGAGGAAGAAAGGAGCTCCCAAGGTCCCCCCAAAATATCTACTACCTTGTCTCTCTCTCAAGCTTAAACTTTCTCAGCTCATTTCAAACGGTGACTAAAGGTCACATCTAAGGCTTCCCCTAGCTCCTAGCCCTCAAGCCAGACAATATGTCAGTCACCATACCTTTGATGGCTCCTGCAAGAGGGAGGAAAGTAGAGGAGTTCATGGCTAGCACGAGGAAGCAAGCATAGCTTGCCCAGTACTTGAAAACAATGTTCAACTACAAAACCTCCATGCTTTAGGATGGTAGAGTCTTAGCACCTGCTCATGGCACATCTTGCCTTGGTATCTATATTCTGTGGACCCTCCTGGAATCCATTCATCTTAGGACCACCTGCAACCACCAAAGACCTGCATCCTGCCCTCCATCTGTTTGCTGGAAAGCAAGGGAAATGAGAGGAGTTTCAAAGCAACTCGAGACAGAGGGCACCATCACAAGCATGCCAGTATGAAGCACCTACAAGAGGCAAGCATTCCTCTAAAGAGCCAGTGATGCAGTGGACAGTCTTGTCCCAGGAAAGAGGAACAGGGGCAGCCAGGCCTTGGGGAGACAGGTAAACAGAGCTCCTGGCCTGGGTGCAATATAGCAAAAGCAGGGTGTGGTGCTTCTACATCTGTGTCTTGTGTCCCTGAAGTTACTGGCATGGGTAAGAAGCAAGGATCCCGTGTTGAAGAAAAAGGAATCACAGTGGAGTCCCTGCACCCAGTGTGTTTAAGTCAATTCACTCAGAGAGCTGACTACCGGCTCTGTTCTAAATGGCTCTCAAAAGGTAACTTAATCCTCCAAACAACTCATTAGTAAGAGGCGAATGGCAGGCCCTGCATCTGAACCTTCATGCTCAAACTACAGAGGCCCTGTGCATAAGCACCAGGTCTGCCACATCCTAAGTGGAGAGCAATACAGTAGGGATCAGTGAACGTTTAAAAGTTAACTAGCGGCAGTGGTGGTGCATGCCTTGAGTCCCAGCATTCAGGAGGCAGAGACAGGTGGATGGATCTCTGAGTTCAAGGCCATCCTGGTTTACTGAGTGAGTTCCAAGCAACCTCCAAAGCGACAGAGAAGCCCTGCCTCAAAAAACCAAAAATAAAAAATTAATTAGAAAAGCAATATTATATCAGCATGTTCCTTTCCGATCTAAATAAATAAAGGAACAGAGCAGGGTGAAAGTGCTCTGTGCTGAGGCAGGCTTTTCCTCTTAACCATCCCAGGGGTCCCTGTGCCACAAACAAGGCAGCCTGGGTGTCTGTGGGGCTCATGGGGGGCACCACCTCTCACCACTCGACCACCTGCTTTTGCACTGCCCACTATAACAAAGTCACACTGGTTCACACAACAAAGTGAGGTAAACTGACTTGTGCCTTAACCTTCAACTGCACAGCAGAAACCCTGAAAGGCCCATGGCTGCTCTCCATGGGATCAGCACAGGTCAATGAAGAGCACAGCCAGGAACCCAGCCCAAGCCAGTCACACCCCAACCTCTTCCACACACCAGATAAAAAGACACTTGGAAATAGCACCTGCATGATACAGGGCCAGGGAGGCACTTCACATGTACTTTAAAAAATGCCATCAACAGAAAGGGCACCCTTCCAAAAAGAAAGTAAGAGCCTAGTTATGCCTGATGGCGAGATAATAGAAGACTGACATTTCCAGGCTCAAAAACAGCATACCGGAGTTACCTGCAGAAAAAGTGTCTGAGGACAGCTCCCCAGCGGTTGACAGCTGCACATGGCAAGGACCAAAGCCCTGCTGTTCCTAGTGGAGGAGCAGAGACTCCGGCCCCCTCCAGTAAACCACATCAGACCCCCCCACCCCACCCCCAGGGAAAGCAGTAAGCATTCCTCAGGCTCCTTCAGAGTCCTCAGCCCGCCCACATGGCTGTGATGGCAACAAAACTGAGAATGTCCATTCACAGATAAGGACTCTGTTGCTCGGGTTACACAACCCAAGATCACAGATACTAGTCTTGCTGTGACACAGGAAGACAAAAGAAAGCCCGGGAAGAGAAGCTGAGACAAGACCATCCGCATTCCACTCCCTACTCTCCTCTGGGCAGAAATGAAAGCAGCTTAGTGAGCAAATAAACCTGAGACTGGGGACACATCAGGCTTCAAGGTCTGCTCCCTTCTCTGAGCCCTCCCACCACCACCGCCAGCCACCACCTCCACCACCACCATCCCCCTAGCCTTTCCCTTCCCGGGGAGTTCAACCTAGGACTTAGGGCTCAAAGGCCTCCAGATGTCTGCTGAAGGTGTTGCAGAAGTACAACTGACACAGCCAAAAGGGAAAAGGAACCCACTGGCTGCGGCACATCCATACAACAGAAAATCACTGGTCCAAAAAGAGGAGTGGGGGTACTGACTCCTGTTACATGGCGGAATCTCAAAGAGATGGTGTCACAGGGAAGGGGCCAGCCAGACACATGAGCCCACATAGTGTACGAGTTCATTTATATAAAACATCCAGAACAGAAACTCCACAGAAGCGGAACAGGGGCAAGGGGTCACGGGGGCGGGGGGGGGGGGGAGGAAAGGAAAGAGGCCTGGATACAAATGAGTTCAATCTGGGGGTTGCTTTATGGGTAATTCTAAGTGTAGAGAACTGATAGAGTTGACAGTTGCACAATAGAGAGAACGCACGTAATACTGCTAAAATGCACTTTCAAAAGGTCCCTCTTACTATGTAAATTTATTCTTATTTTTTACAGATAGTATGCAGCATGACTGTATAGTCTTGCTCAGCCACTCCCCACCTTGCTCAAGGGAGGAGGGAAAAGGGAGCTTCCTGGAGAAAAATGAAGAGGAGGAGGAGGAAGAGGACTAGGAATAGAAGGAACACTGAATTCTTCCTGCTCTACCACAAGGTCACACAGACCTCACAAGGCACATGGACCTAAAACTTTTAAATTCTCCCCAAATCTATGTGAAAACATTACACACCAAAATAGTTCTTCTATATCCTCCACTTCCCCTCTCTCTGATGTGACTGCCCAGTTGCCCTGTCTCCTAAGCTATAAACTTTGGAAACCCTAAATGCACACACACATGCTTGCAAGTGCACATGTGTGCGCACACACACACCCTTCTTCCTGGACCACCTAAGGCTGTCACCACGCCCTTGATTCTGATCTCCCCACTTCTGTGCTGTGCTCTGTCCTCACAACCTGAGGTCCTACAGACCAGAGGCAGTTGCATCCTAGGTCTGCAAGGCCCATGCCATCTCAAAACCTGTCTTTAAAACTCCCAAGACATCGCCCATATACATAAAACCAACAAGAGCCGAATGGTGATTATCTGCTACGGTCTTCTCGTTTCTGTTTGGTAAGACAATGGCTGTGACTCTGTGCGAGGCCCCTCTATTTGGAACATAAAACAGAACAATGCCCAAAGTGGGGCCTTTTGTGAACACTGAAGGCTAATCGAGCCTGACTGTTGCTTCACTCATTTACCTGGCTGACACCTTCCTCTCTTAACCTGTGTGTCAGGGCCTTCATCAGTGTAAAAATAAACAGGTCAGGAACCCAGCAGAGACAGGTGACGCAGTCGGCCAGAGAATTTTAAAAAGCTGTGGATGAGGCTGTGGGAAAGAGACAGGAATGTGCAAGAAGCCTGGAGTGGCACAAATGAAAGAAGAGACAAGCTGAGGGGCTGCCTCTCCCATCACGGGCTGAAGATGCCCACTAGGGTACCCAAACAGGGAGGTGCAGACCAAGGGCACCCCGGTGTAGAACACAGAGGTCAGCCTCCTCCTGGGGCACAGAGAGGTGGGTAGGGGGTCTGCTGGGACACTGTCAATCTGGTGGCTGAGAGCCAAGAGTGGTCAAGGAGTTCAGTTCAAGCGCGGGGGGGGGGGGGGTTGGCTGGTACACACCTTTCATCACAGCACTT